TCATACAAGGCATCGTCGCAGCCATGGGTCCGTCCAGTCGCTTGCTGATCATGGATATGGTGTTGCCCAAGCCAGGCTCTGGGTCTGTGACATTTGAAGCAGCGCTTCGACAGAAGGATCTCACCATGATTCAGTGCTTCAATGCTCAGGAGCGCGAGGTTGAGGAGTGGAAGGCCCTGCTTACCAAGGCTGATCCGCGATTGAAGATACAGGCGATCGAGAGACCTGCTGGGAGTGAGTTGTCGGTCATTGAGGCCATGCTTGATGAGTCTCCGGAGCAGGCGGCGTGGTTCTAGGCAGCGTTATAGATAAGATCACAATGAAATCTTTACGGCCATATATTTTGCTTCTCTCCCTAGTCGTGATACTTGCCATGGTATTGTAGGAAAGGAGGCAAGTCAAATTTGAAGCATGTCTCAAAGTGGTCACCTAGGCCAATGTGATGTTTCTCTCACGCCTTCTCCCCCATTTGATTTTGATCAAGGGATCGACGAAGCCGGCGACATGGAATAGTGTCTTACGATCGCGCAGGCTGTCAGTCCGAGAATATCGCATTGGGCTCACAAGGTACCTCCTCAATCGCGAAGCGATACTGAAGACACAGTGAAGAACAACCAACTTCTTAAGCGTTAATTCGCAATATTTAATAACACTCAATTGACAATATTCGCCCTATCGACTACCACTCGTACACATCTAAGACCAATCCCCATCCTGAAGATCCTCTAACTTCTGTCCCGCTTTGATCTGCTCCTGCACCTCCTTCATCGTCCAATGTCTGTACCTATGCCCCTTAGGAAAATTCGTATTCACCAACGGAACCCGTCCCCCACTTACAACATGCGTCAACGCCTCAGCAAACTTCTCATACGCATACGCCTCCGGATCATGCGACCAAACCCACTTCGGATATCGCGATCTGATCAGCGCCGGATTCTTCATGATCGCGTCCCAGTCCGTGTGCTGCTTGAGCTGCTGGTTCACGAAGCCCATTTTCTGCCCACAGCTAACGCGCTGGAAGCGTAGTTTGTTGTACACTTTTGTAGCATTGGCGGCTTGGGCTTTGCCCGCGAGTTGGAGGCACGTTGCGAGGGTCACGCCGTCTTCTATGGCTTGTGTTGCGCCGTTGCCGGATGTGGGGAGGAATGCGTGCGCTGCGTCGCCGAGTTGGACGACGTGGCCGCCGGGAGATGTCCATTGCTCGTGGGGATCGCGGAATTTGAGCTGCCAGTTCACGACGGAGCCTTTGGGGGCGGTGCGGATCAGGGCTGCGATTGCGGGATGGACAGCGTCGTTCTTTTCCATCTCGGTGATGACTTCTGCTGGGTCGATGTCTGGGATCCAGGACTCGCTGGCAGATTCAGCGTGCTAGCGGTCTGTTAGTGGTTTGTTGGGAAATGGGGAGAGTTGGCTTACTGAGTGGATGAAGCTCCAGAATGCGAGATCGTGGGTTAAGCACATCATGTTGTGAGAACCATTTCTGCAAATGTCAGTACATCCTCGTTCATCGGCTGCAGAAAACTCACCCAAGCCAGAATTGCCAGATTGGCTTATCTTCAGGCTTAAAGTTCCACATCTCTCGAACCGTGGGATCCTTAAGCGCATGCTCAACAGGATAACCCGCCCGATAAATCGCCTTTCCACTCGTCGTCAGCTGATCCGGCATGCCAGGAACAATAGTCATGCTCTTTGTCCTCAAGCCATCAGCTGCAACAACGATATCAGCCGTTCTCTTCTCCCCATTCTCGAGAACAACGCCCCCAGCACGACCTTCAACATCCTCCCAGTACTCAACGACCTTGCACCCCCATTCAACATAAATACCCACGCGCTCCGCTTGTTTCAAGAACGCGCGGTACAGTTTGATACGTGAGTGGGCATTGACAGAGGGGAACCCGCGACGACCTGGCAAATGCTCTGGGTCATTGAACATAGGCGGTGCTGGGCCCCAGATACGCTCGCCAGTCTGTCTATAGTAAGACATGTCGACGTCGTACTGGTTCTCCTCAATCTCATAGCCCATATCAGGCCAATGGCGCAGAAGAAGAATTGCACTGGGCTGGATTTGAACATTATCGCCTGTCCAGACCGGACTGGGACTGCGGTCGATAATGCGAACGTTGTGTCCTTTGCGCCAGCATTCAAGGGCGCAAGTGATCCCGCCCAGACCAGCGCCTGCGATGAGGACGTTGATACCGGTGGAGGGGTAGCGGAAGACTTGGAGGTCGATGCCTCGCTTGATGGAGTCATCGAGCCTTTCTTGGGAAAAGGTTGGATATTCTTGATGATCACCATTGAGAGTGCCGTTTGGCTTCTCATCAATGATGGGACGAGTGCCGTTTGTCTGTGTGTTCGTCATGATTGCCAATTGAATTGAGTTTACAGAGAGAAAATTGGGATGAATCTGTCTGGGAAAACTGCGACAAGGTGATCTCATTGTGAGATTATGTGACGAGTCCTCTATTTGAAGCCAAGTAGACCGGCAGCGCTTGGTGTTCTTGGCATTCTATTGTCAAGGACGCCACAATCTTGAACTGTGTGTGTACAACTCCAATCCCCGAGATGGATCCCGAGGACATCCCCATAGAGTTTGAATTACTTCGCTGTCTCAATTAAGTCTCTTGGCAATTGACCGGCCTACGGATGTCAAAGTGGTCCGGCTTGGCTCTCCGTGTAAGCCAATATAGACACTCCGACTCTATGACACCATGACTGTGCTTATTATTTTCAAGGTATGATATCTAATGAGCAATCGGATAGATAATGCGATATACGGTGAGAATTCGTTGTTCGCTTCGGGGTCCGAATCCCAATTTGGCTACGTCTTTGTGTCTGTGCAGCGGCCGTGGCGCCGGGACTCCGTTGTTGTCGACGCCATGGATCGATCCGTGCCGTAACGGTATCTTGTCTACGCTTCTTTCTTCACGGGTGCCGAGCCCCGGGTGCTCTGTTTGTAAACTGGTTTCTTGCAAAATGCGCGCCGCTGATGTAGTCAAAAGTACGGAGTAGGTGGTCTCAGAATGTCAATCCTTTGCGCGAGATGATCAGGCCCCGAGGCTGTAGAGACAGTCGACTGAAGAAATGTCGTAATAATTCTCAAATATTTAATCCATTCAAATGCTTTGCTTTTGTCTTTATGGCTACTCTATCTGCCTCGTGTCCGACAGAACTTCTCATGTAGACTCGATTCCTGGCGTGTCCGCAATCTTGTAGACGTACTTCACCGCACTAGCCTTTCCTTTCTTCAAGTCTACCAGTCCCTTCTCTATCCCCTCCAATCCCCCAGGCACAACCTCTTGCGGATGCACCTTTAGCCAGCCGTCCTGAAGCCCCCTACCGAAATACGTCGAAAACCCTCGAGCGAATTCCTTTAGATCTTCATGTACACTAGCAACCGTAGTGACCGACTTCTTAATGGTCTTTGGGATATCAGAATAGCTTTGTGCAGGAATAATGAGAGTGATCTTCCCAGTCTCCTGGTCAAGAACATCGCAAATGGTCTGGTAGGATCCCATCTCAGATACAGCATCAAATGCGTACTCTAGCTTTTGGCCGCTCAGGCTGGCCTTGATCTTTTGCGCGACAGCCTCGTGTCCCTTTCTGTAGTCAATGACTGTGTCTCCCTTGGACCCATCAATCATTCTCTCGACGTGCTCTTGCGCACGACCAGCGATGCAGATGAGTGGGTGGATATTAGACTTCTTTGCCAATTGAACTGCGTAGGATCCAACCGCTGATGAAGCGCCCCAAATCACAAGAGGTATCTTTTGATCGTCAGAGATTGGCTGCGTTGGGTAGGGGAGATCGAGCTTTGCGTAGAGGGCACAGGCTGCGGTGAACGCAGCGAAGGGTATGGCAGCACCCTCTGCAATTACAACGTCAGCCAACAGCATCCTTAGAAAGCTTATAATATTGCCTGCTTACCTTGAAAAGTAGTGTGTTCCGGTAGATGAATGGTGGTGTATGCCCAGCTCACACCATACTCAGCGTAACTCCCGCCAGGCTGCTTCCCCTCATGCATAGCCGCGACGCGATCACCGATTTTGAAGTCAAACACTCCCTCTCCAACCTCATAGACAGTTCCAGAGTGATCATCGCCCTGGTTCATGGTCGCCTTACTTCCCCAGTACTCAGGTCGCTTCCTTCAGAGTGTCAGCACGGTTATGAATGAGGCCGAGGGTGCTCACCAATCCTTGGGGTTACTACCAGCGTACTCAATCTTGACGACAACTTGCCCAGGCCCCGCTTTCGGAATCGGGCTGTCAATGATATGGACTCTTGGTCCGCGCGATACAATGGCTTCTTTCATCGTGCTGGCCGCTCTGATCTGTGATGAGAGTGCCTGGGGGCGATTCACCGAAAGGCGATTGCGCAAGTGGGAAAACATTGCGATGAGACAATTCACCATCCATCTTTGTCAATCCAGAATGATGGTAAACCAAGCGTCAAGGCCAACAGTGAAGCCTCATTCATGTCATCACATTGCATCGCGTTGTGTTGCACGACTTACACGGTCGGAGCGGGCCTAAAATCCGAACAGCGAAAGTCAACAGCGAGAGGCCGAAAGAGGCGTAGCTTCACAGTGTCCGAGAAGCGGGTTTAGTGCCGAGGCGCGAGAATGATGCAGCCAATGATTTTGACGTGAAACGTCTCACGGCGTTTACGAGCTTATTTCTAGGTCAGGCTGCTTATGCTTTAATTCCCGTCGTGGGTAAATACAGATGATATCTGATGCACTCTGGTCGTAGTGTCTGCCGTCTTATCTACCATTCTTTAGTGGGATCGCCTAGCTAGAGACTTTGCAGAAGCGCGAGGTCAGCGCCTTTGTTGTCATTTTCTGAGGACCACTGATACTTTATTGCGTCAAAATAAATATTTATCTCATAATTTAGCTAGGGAGACGGTAAATATCATTCTTACGGGTCAAATCTAGTGTGCTGTGATGTGTTCTGACATATGTTTTTTTGATGCCAGCTACCCTACAACCCCATCCTGATCATCTAAGACAGCAGTGTTCCTCCCGTAGTCTCAACAACACTACCAGATGTATTCTTGTTCTTCATTAAGTACAAATACGCCTCCACAACATCCTCAACCTTTCCAATCTCACCCGTCGTCATTCTTCCCTTCAAGTGCCCGGTTACATTATCCCAATACCCCATCTCCTTGACATAGCTCCATATCTCAGTGTCTGTTGGGCCCTGCGCAACAGCATTGACGCGAATCGGCGCAAGATCAACAGCCAAGCCACGGATCATGCCGCGAAGGCCAGACAAGTAAGAATACATGATGGACCAATCCTTGGAGACATGCTCTGTTGCACCACCAGTAGCGACGGTGAATGATGAAGATCCGCTTTCGTTGAGGTGCTTGCGGAGTTGCTGCGCGACAACAAGTGGTGCGAAGAAGCGCACGGTGCCAGCTTGACGAATCGCATCGAGAGTGAAATCCTCCAGTTTCCCAACTGCGAGCTTGTCGCCAGCCGTGAAGACGACGTGGTCTAGCTTGCCAGACTTGGCGACTTCGGCGAAGAGGTTCTCAACCTCAGAGGTGAGTGTGTCAGGCGAACCCAAGTTGCAGGGAAAACCATGAAGTTGAGCCTTGGCAGATTGATTGTTCTCTTTGAGGCGCTCAATGGCACTGGAGATCTTTGTCTGGGAGGATGAGGAGATAAACACAGAAGAGGCGCCGTTCTGGATTGCTGCTTCTGCGACGCCGAAGCCGATTCCTGATGAACCGCCGATGACGAGGACGCGAGATCCTGCCAGCTTGGAGACGTATTTTCCGAGTGAAGCCATTTTGATGTGTATGTTTGAGAGAATGAGGTGCAAGATGAGGATGAGGGGAGAAGGTGAAGAGGAGGAGAGTTGTTCGCTAAGCAAAGTAGATACGGCTTTTATGTTGGGGTGGTATGGGAGAAGCAAACATGGCTTACATGGCTTACATGGCTTGAGCTAAGGCCTATTGTAATGTTGTTAGTCCCCCCGCGCCCCAGCCATGGCACTGTTTGATCGACCAACCGCTTAGAATGACCCCTCATAATGACAGAATGTTCAGTGAATCGTGGAGAGGGAAATGTCTCGGAGTCCGGGACTGTTCCTTGCCGATTTTGTGTCTGTGTAACTTGATGCGTGCCTGATGAGTGCCCCGCTATATGCACGACGGCCAACATTTCTCGCGACTGTGTTGAAAAGCGAGGCCGAAACAGGGATCAAATGCCTCCCTCTTATATGAGTACGGCGGTGGAAAAAATAAAAGAAAAATGGGTTCAAGAGAAGAAACAAAAAGTAGCTAGCTTGGAACCGTTAGATTCGGCACATGTGCAAGGGCTCTGTGAATAGGCCACTATATAATTCGTCAAGTACCTTGGTGATTATGATGGATGCATCATATAGTCTAGCCTTATCAGGTACATAACAGTCTTGGTAAGAGAGGGCACAGGTACATCTGCCGCAGGATGTTTCCTCACTTGGACAGCACTGAGGAAACAACAGATCCTCACGTCAGATGCTGTCCCAATCCAGTAACCCTGACGCCTGGGGTTATGTAGAGCGGGTAGAAATCAAGGTCTGGACCGGATATCTGCCTGAATACTTGTGCATCAGAATCTTGATATGTCTCACGATATTCATGCTGTTATCCCGCTGAAACGTAAGACATGATCAGCATTCCGTCAGGTATGCTTCGGCTTCCGAATTCCAGGCACGCATGCACCCGCAGCTGCCAACCAATCCTATAACAGAGAGCTTGGATACTGTATCAATGCCGGATGTAACTGTAAAAGCACGGAAGGATATTGCTGAAAGTGTACCTACTATATTGTGCTATGCTGTATCACATGATACAGAATCACATGGTATATCAAGTGACCAAGGAAAAGGCACAATTAGACGCAATTTATTACAGCTGTGATAGTGCAAAGGGATACATCAATGAAATAGGCAAAGGACATTGTGGCGCCACGCAAAGCTCGGGGTTCGGGCTGTTAGAGGGCCGGCATTAACTTAGTTCATGTTGCACCTGATGACGACTGTGAGGCTTAAGGGCTTACTGTATATACCCTCACCAAAAACATCTGCGCGTGTACCATTAATGAGAACATGATCAGTTAAATTGCAGTTGTAGTCATAGTAGATGATAGTTGCAGTGCGTCTAGCAAGCTGCTGAGCTACATATTTAATGACCTCCTTGGAACACCAAAGGAATGACGCAAATCAAACAATTCAGACTTATACATACAGTTTGCGATGCAAAGAACCAAAATGTTCACATCAGCTCGCCTTGACCTTTCTTGATCTTCTGGATAATTTCCTGTAGTTCCTCCCTCATATTCCTCACAGCAACAACATGCCAATTCAACCCGCCATCATCCCCTCCAGCAAAAGAATCAAATGTCTCCATGACCTTCTCCGCTTTTCTCAACTCTCTCAGAACAACAGTCCTCTGCAGTGTAGCTTGATCGTCATCATCAAGATCTAACATTCCAAGCTGGATCTTCATAGGTCGTAGCTCGACTCCGTCGGCGGGATACCGTGCTGTGACTGCAACTCTGTACCAGAATATGACTTTTGATAAGATTGCGCTGTGTAGCATTGCGATATGGGGATTGCGTGCACAGTGGCATTTGAGGAGGGGAATGAGGTTTGTGAGAGCGGCTTTGTTGACGGACAGGACTGTGTCGATGGATGGTGTTGAAAAGGGTTGTTTTTGGGGAATAGGAGAGGATTTGCAGATGCTTTGGTCGGTGTTAGTGTTGCATTGCAGCGATCTCAACAACTTGAGAGCAAGGGCCTCGCAATCGTGAGAGTGCATGGCTGTTGGCTCCGGCGCTTTGATCGACAATATCGGCTCAGTCGATAGACTCAAATCAGGTGATACCATACCACTCGACTGAGACGCAGTAGTATCCGACACAAAACCCAGCGACTTCCACGGATCAACCCAAGATATACCGTTCCCATCGTCAAAGTCAACAGTGGCGTCGACACTGCGCGACGCCCAACTATCCAGCATCTCAAGATCGCCAGCCGAGTATGTACTGTAATCCTCCCACGCATTCGTAAACTGCGTCGTAAGACTACTACCACCATTACTATCCTGAGCACTCTTCCTCTGTCGCGCCCGCTTTCCATGTCGTCGCGAAGCGCTGTAGCAGCACTCCTTCGCCTGCCCGTTGTCCTCGCAGCGCTCGCAGGGGTGAGTCCTGCTGCAGCGGACCTTGGCTGTCGTACAAGCGTCGCAAGCGAGGCGCAGCCGGACGGGCTTTGAGGACCGAGTCTCGGACATGGTTTGTGTCGAAGATTTGCGAGGTGCTTGGCTTTGGTGGTTTGGGGGATCTTGAGTTTGCTTGTTTGATACATATATGAAGCAAACTGTGGTTGCCTTTTCTTTTTTTGCCAAGGGGTAATTTGGGAGCCGCGTGAGTGGGAGGGTTGTGAGATAGACGCCATCTGTGGTCTAGTCTAAGCCCGTCATGTCGGCGTGGTAGGACGGTAAGCGGCTGGCTGACAGCCCTTTTGCCCATTACAAAGGATTTATGACCATTATACTATCTATGCTGACCAGTAGTATTATTAGAAAGCTCTTTTAGGATCCTCCCCTACAGCATTCACTTCCACAAGTCCTGAATTACCAGGTGTCTCGATCCTCCAGGATTTAATTCTCCGAGGACTGTTGTTTCACATTCAAATAGAACAGTAACATGTCACCGGTATGAATCTTGTATAAACATTACGATATTAATCAACCTAGGCTTCAGAGTCAAAATGAACCGGGAGTCACTCCGGTCCCGGCCGTCAGCCATATGAGATACGCCTTCAACGGGAAAGGCTGCCTGCGTATGCAGGACTTCTAATAAAAAAGTACCGGCCGGCGGCAGCGGAGTCCGGACATCTTCAAGACTCCATCTTACTCCGGACCTCGGCCGCCTAGATACCTACCCGTCTGCCACCAATCGGAATGGAAATCAGCTACATAAGACTTAGATGAGACATGATAGATCTGCTTTGGTAAAGGATAAGAGAAACTTGCGGATCAGCGGAGAATCACTGGCTACAGTGCCAAGATATTGGTTCGACAGAAAATACGAGCAAACCGACGAGTCCCTGATTCAGGAACTGTTTCGTTGGAATCTTCTGGTGACATGATGTCACGTTCCGCCAGAATCAAGCCCATTTTTATCGTGGAAAAAAAGCCATACCTGAAATGCGGTTTCACAACGTAGATACGGCACAAGGGAAGCAATCAGCAGTAACTGGTTTGACGTGCTTGATTACGCCATGTAAGCTGTGCAACCGCCCAAGAATAAGAACAAGATAAGGGGACTTTGCAATCAGGTCCCAGCGACAGATAATGGGCCTCAATTGAGAAGATGGTGTACTTGCGAGGTCACATCAATGGTGCTGTAACGGAGCTTCGGGGTAAGATGGGAATAAAGATCTTACAGAGACATTTGAGGTGACCTTGATTGAAGATAATAGTATTACGTGCTCGTTGATCGATGTTTGCTGACATCAGAGGCGTTTGTGCAAACCCCCAAAAATGTTGTCCAACCACAATAATCGCTGGAATCTTCTGTCGCTGAGATCTTAAACCTTTTCCCCGTTTTGCTGCGGCTCACTCAGCCTTGTCTTATCACGTAACACGCATGATGCGGAGACGCGTGCCGATCCCAACGCCGTCAGCAATGACATTTTCCCTCCCTCGTCAGCAGCCACGACATAATCTAATTACCTGTTTTAGCCATGCAGTTTTCTATTCTCGCTGCTGTAATCGCAGCGACGATCGGAAAATACTCCGATGCCGTGCGCTCTGAAATACCTGCTACACGATCGTTCTTCTACGTCGGCGGGCGGTACGACGATGACGGCGACGGTGGCCATGTTTTTCGGGACCAGATGTATGTTGAGAAACTCGCCCCCGTGAAGGGACCTTGGAAAGACACGCCTATCGTTATGATTCACGGTATGGCGCAGACAGGCACAGTACGTTCAATCTCCGTGAAATTTCGGAAGCCGTGCTAACTTTTCGCCACGTTTAGAATTTCCTGAACAAGCCCGACGGCGGAGTCGGTTGGGCCTCGAGGTTTATTGAGCAGGGTTACGAGGTGTACATTGTTGATCAGACCTTTCGGGGGAGATCTGCTTGGATGCCTGGACAAGGCGCTGCTAAGCTCAGCACTCTTTCAGCCGAGGCTATAGAGGTTGCGTTCACCGATTCGAGGACGCATATGCTCTGGCCTCAGGCTCTGAACCATACCCAATGGCCTGGCTCTGGGGTTCGGGGTGATCCAGTGTTTGACGCGTTTTACAGCTCAAATGTGGAGTTTGTTGATAACACGATCTATCAGCAGACTTCTGTTCAGGCAGCTGGTGCAGCCTTATTGGATAGGATTGGGAAACCGGCTGTTCTTCTGGGACATAGTCAGGGAAGCTTTATGCCTACGTTGATCGCTGACATGAGGCCAAAGCTTACGAAGAGTATTGTTCTGCTGGAAGCTGCTGGGCCGCCGTTCAAAGATGAGATATTCAAATTTGGTGGAGAGTTTCCTAGGCCATGGGGTCTGTGGGATGTTCCCATCACTTATGACCCTCCTGTGAAGGACCCGAAAAAGGACCTTGTTCAAAAGGTTCATGCGCAGAAGGATAGTTTGTCGACGGAGTGTATACTTCAGGCAGATGAACCTTCGCCCCGAAAGTTGGTTAACCTGGTGGACATTCCTATTCTTATTGTCACAGGCGAGGCATCGTATCATATGCCGTATGAGCACTGCACTGCTGCGTATTATCGGCAGGCGGGATGTTTGAAGACGGACCATATTGAGTTGGGAACTATTGGTATTCATGGGAATGGGCACATGCTTTTCATGGAAAAGAACAGTGATGAGATACATGGTGTTGTCGAGAAGTGGATACGTAAAAGTTAGGTTCAGAATAACATTGCAAGTTTTTGATATTGGCGAGTCACAATATTTCTATCAAGTTTGTGTGAACCTTGTGGTATGTTCATTGGTTTCAGTCAACACCTAGCTTTCCCACACTCACGATGTCCAGTCAACACCAACATAAAGTTACGATACCCGAACCCTCAGCATCACGCTGCCGAACAAAACTCTATCAAAGACTGAATTCAACATGCCCTAATCATATCAGTTCCCTTTCCAATTCCGCAGACAGCTTTTCCACCCATGCCTCGCATCCAGTTTCTCTCTCTCCCCTCTCAACCATATCCCTAGCCAGTATGTCTCACGCAGGGCCATCCTCTAGTGCCCTCACCAGGGCACGCAACAAGCTCTGCGAGATGGAACGACTGTTTAGCCGAGAATCTCGGTATACCGTCTGGCGAAAACTTTGGTTGTGGCTTGCTGAAAGCCAGAAGCAGCTTGGGATCGTCTACCTCGTCCCCATCCCTGATACCCGGCCTCAAGAGTTCGCAAAAGAGAGAATCATCGACGACCAAGGTCTTGAACAGCTGCGGCGCTGTTGTGTTGTCTTGAGCTACCAAGTCAATAGTATGCAAATGCGCAACCTGATCGCCGATCATTTATTGGTATGTGGCGCCCGTTGTTCTTACGTTGAACGTTTGATCTAACCTTAGTTTTAGGATATCAGGGCTGTAAGTTCGATGATGCGTAGCCGTGGGTGATAACTAATATTCGATGTAGCACTTTCACTTCGTCACTGAGTTAGACGCCCCTCGATCAAAGCACTGGCTGAACGTTGGCGTCACCCACGAGTACATCCTTGAAAACACGGAGCAGATCCTCATGGCTAGTGCCCTTGATATCTTGAACACCAACCTCTCGATGCTCCTCTATCGTCTTCGAAATTTTGCCTCGGATCACAGGTCTGCACAATGCCTGATATACAAGCCAGACTCCGACATAGATACCTACGTTACAACGATCGGAGGGAGGGGTGAGTAAACTATCAACTGTTCTTCTCTGACAGGACCTGACACATTTCTAGTTGCTCTCTGGGCTATGATGCTTGGTAGAATGCTGTGGTGTCTTCAGAGACTTCGATGCAATGTTGGATCGGCTGGATCTCAGCCAATTACTGAATGTGAAAAGAAGAACATTGACTTTTTTGACAAGCTATCTATGCTGGAGCAGTAAGATTTCTCCACCGTTTCAGCTTTTCATTCTAATCTGTTCCAGCTTTGAGGGCGATGAGTCAAAGTGCGAAAAGCTAGATGAGCTCCTTCGCCAAAAGATGCGGTTCCAAAAATGCCACGCGGTAAGCAAATTAGTCTCCTTAATTGTTGTTGTCTCAACTAACTCGTTCCCAGAAAGACTATTTCAGATAGTAAGGATAGAGCTCACTGTTGTTGCTTCATATACTAACATCTGATTTAGCCGGTCTGACACCAACGGATTTTTGGGGAGGCTATGCTATAAACTAGGGGACATTGCTCTTCAAGTTGTTGAAGAACTGGATCATTTCGACTCTACTGATCAGATGGTCGAGAAAAGGGCCAGGAACGATGGGTCGTCTGTCACTGTGAGTTTTCCATATGTGGGAGAATCAGCACTTCGCTGACCGAGTTAAAAGGCGGAAGATCCAAAGTTCAGACAGTCACCGGTCCTTGGTATTGCAGCAAGAACGCTCATGGAAGTAGCACTTACTTTCAAGGATCCCAGAGTGTCTAAGACTTATGGAGAGGTAAAACGGCAAATATCTCTGTTCCATATGGATACTAACATGTATTAGGTTGAATACCTCATGGCACGGCTGTTCAAGCACGCTGCACGGGTCGTCAGGGTACTCCAAAGCATCGTCGAGGGTCTTTACTACAATGACCAAGCCGCCAACTACATCATATTTATCAACACGCCATTCATGATGAACACCCCTCTCATCAGTAGACTCACCCTCCGTGGCGAGAATCGAATGATGTAAAGTGCTCGCCTACACATAATGAATAAGATGCTAACAGTTTCAGTGTTATGTCGCTTTTGAGAAACGCTGGCATGCTGGTAATGAATCAGCCACCACAACTTCGAACGCCAAACTTTCTCAACGCACTCATGCATCACGAAATCTTCAACAGACATAGTATCGACGTTCGAAATTCTGTCCTGTCGGTTCGGGAGGTCACGCATGCTAAAATAATAGTTGAAAGAATCTGTGGAGGGAACGGTATCATTGACAGGAGACTGCAGCCCTACTTGGCGTATATTCGAGAGATGACTGCTGGAGAGAGGCGCCTGCAGGCACCTCCGACGATTCAGACTGCCCAGGGTCACTAGGTTTTACGGTTGTCTGGTGGTCGGCAATAGGCCTGTGGGAGCTGGGCATTTCTGAAGCTATTGATTTGTTGGGATTTGTATTGAACCCGGGGTTGGGGCGTTTTCATGTGTCTTGGAGTTTCGCGGAGTATGCGGCCGATGATTCACAGTGTTGCATAAATCCCGTTGGAATAAGGAGCATAGCTTTAGCCTACCTAGCACATGTGCTTCTGCGCATTGTTAAATGCTGACGTAATTTTTATTTGTTTCTGCTTCCTCGTTGCTTCATTCTCTTATCCACCTCTATGCCTCCTTAACTTCTCCTCACAACAACACATGGAGATCCAGTAACTCATCAACACCAGTCCTACAATACTTCGATCTATGATCAATCGAGGCTGAGAAATAGGGATCATACTTCCCCTTGCCTTCAACTTCATTCAAAATCTTGCGGCGTCGATATCTTACGCCTTTTCTTCTTCGGTAGGAGGATGTCAAGAGAATTTCGGCCCATCATCACTAACGCCCTCTCCAGTTTACAACACGATGCACACGCTTTCATCTGCGACGGAATAGTTAGCTTTCGTCGGCGCGACTTCTTGCAATACTCTGCCTGTGGCTTTTGTTGGTTACTTGGCCATCAGTCGCGACAGTCATCAATTGCGCCAAGTTGGAACATCATAAGCACCATTGAGCTTGACGCTCTTCTCTCAGCTTTCAAGGGACCAGCCTTCGTGTATTTCTAAACCAATCCTTTGTACTTATGCGAAGAAGGTTTGATGATCGTGCAAGCTTCATTGCATCTCGTGCTAACTTGTGTCGGCTCGCAGCTCAACAAATCTACTCCGCCGCCAATCCATCATCGTCCCTCCGCCCACATCTTTGCTCTCTATCGCTACGGCTAGAGTCTCAGAATTTATTTCTGCAAAAAAAAAAAAAAACGAAACAGACTATCGAAAAAATTGGCTGTGACAATTCCCCGTCCTCCGGAACTTGATCAACCACGATGGCGGGCAACGCACCAGGGGCGCCAGTCCTAGATGAAGCAAGCCCTACCGTGAGACTCAAAGGCAAAAAAGGTTATTATGGTGAGGCTATGGAGTTTCACACCTTCCAGTCTCGAGGTGGGAATCTGAAAGACCTTATAGACGAAGAGCGGTGGCTGGACTTTCCCACCACTGTTTGTTGCCCCTTCAGAAAGATCGACATGAACCAATCCGACAGAGATACTTCTCTACCACCTACTGGAAGATCTGGGATGAGAACCATATGGAATCTAGAGCTAGTTTCTGGTCTTGAAGATAACAACTTTCCGAAAGTAGGCCGTGGTCGAAAGGCGACAGAGAGACATCTGGCAGCTAATTTAGCTGTCAGAGCTTGCCATAATACCAGTATCCGCAGTCACGAGACAAAAGAATGGTTGGGCATCGCCAGTGGTACGCAGCTCTCAAAGGACAAAGAGGTCGGCGGCGTGTTTGTGGGGATATCAGCACTTAACTATCGCGCTATCTTCATGGTGAAGTCGGGTACTCAACATTTACCTGATAGCTTTCATGGCGTCACAAGGCAGCAACTTATTAAAGACTCGTTGAATTTGGACAACACAGAACTTGTCGAACTGGTATCTAGGCCAGGGTGTCACATACAAGGCCACGAGATCATCTGGACCGAGAACATGCTGATCCCAGGCAACATCTCATATATCAAACGCGCACTCCATGGCCACCTAGATGATGATGATAAAGCTCAGTTCCTGCAGCTATTGAGGCGAGAACATCGTCTCCTTTTAAATGAGAATGGCCCAGCTGGTGTTGCCAAGACCCTACCATCCAATGAAGAACCAGCTCGAAAACCGTTGATTTGTCGCGCTATTCAAGGCGGAAAAGAGTACAGCGACCTACATTTCACCCTGAATTGGCCTCCAATGGCATTACTGGAGTTTCCCAAGGCCATGATCGTCGCAATGCAACGCTTTCTCGACGGATATCCTTCCGACAATGTACCCCTGAACATTGCACTGGCCGCAACAATTATCTATTTCGATATTGAGGAAACAAACGATCACGAAATGGAGGGCTTTGTGGATTCCTTTCATAGCAGGAAGCCATGTCTTGTGCAAAAGGCTCCCCTAGCAACTTTCATTTTATACTTTCCTCACATGCTGAGGTTCGTTGATACAAACCATTTGACGTCGTTCCTTCACCCGTTCCGGTTCGCCAACTACCATAAACCTCTTTGCGGACCTCTAGAAATCAAACACAGTCGCCATGAACTCTGCCCAGCCTCAATGCGCTCCTGGTATCACCAGATGCGTTCTCGTCATCCGCAAGTTCTCGCGGACTCAAGGTTCACTCTGATTCCTGCATCTATGCCAGGGTCGACTATGGTATTTCCTGAAGACTGCAATCATGCTCAGAGACCATCACTCGATCTATTCACTTTATGTTGTTTGAATGACGTGCGAACTTTGGGGATTCCAAGTTACTCACGTATCCCGAACTCCTCTTTTATGTGTGTAGGAGCACCCAAATGGCTCTTCACAAAAGCGGTTCGGCAAACTGATAAAAACTGCTTTCGACTCTTTGGCCATCCCACAGTTGACTATTGGAAGACTACCGCTTCTGACACAACCAAAGCTCTTACTGGTCCGGCAAGGACAGTTGGCCCTGTCTTCCCAGACATCGGGTCTGAATACTACAACACAGAGGCCATAGCTTCTTGCGCGAAGCGGTGGTTTGGCGATGAGACTTATTACACTCAGAACCTACAATTTTGCCTCGATACTTCAGAGCTCGAACGAAAGAACATGGCAGCCCGGGCGGACGAGCTCACCAGGATTGCGGATCGGTTAGGTATTCCACCCACTGAACGAAGGACGAGCCACAAGACCATGTTGCTTGAATGGGATGGTATGGAAGATCATTTAAAGTTACTTTGCAAAGCGGGAAAGCTAAAGCGACTCGCTGCGGCAGAATATTCTACGCCTCCAGCCAAGCGAGCACAACCTGTCGAGCCAACCTTGAGCTCGGACATCAAAGCGGAGATTCTTCAAACTATCAAAGGCCTTGCGGCTGCATCTTGCGATTAGGACAAACTGCTAATGGATCTTCAAAACCCAGCCCCAGCTATGAGAGCGATCCAAGAGTCATTCTCACATGTGCGGTTGTTCGTGTCCGAGTTGGAGAAGACTCTGCCGAAGGAGAATGCTGGCAATGGGGAGGGAGATTTGGACCATGTCATTCGACTGGTGTTTCGAGCCGAGGGACTTTTCGGGTCGGGAGTAGAAGGAATGGACTACGAGTCAAAATGGGGACAACATCGCCATAGGCTTTCCCAACTGTTTGGAGAGCCAATTGGGAAGGCTATGGAAACTGTTTTCAGGCTTCGGAGCACCCCTGACGCGTTTGGACTCATTCTTCCCCAGATTCAGGTGTTGAGAGAATCTGCTTTGGTCAAAGACCAAGTCGAGGCCTTCGAGAAGATCGAGGCACTACTGGGACAGCCACTGACAGACATGGACGTTGAGACAACTTTGGGGGGCAACGAGGCACAACAATGAACGATGACTCGACTTTGAAGAACTCAAACTTGACTTCTAGGGATAGATATTCAACTAGTTCAGAATGGAGATGGCATCTGAAAAGGATTACAAATTGCTGAGGGAAGGTTTGATGAGAGATGATGGGCTGGAGCATAGAAGGATTGCGAGATAAAACGATAGCTCCTTAAAAATTGACATTTGAGCTTAATAATACCATGAAACCTGACAACCGTCATTGGAACTCTGTAATAATCCTTTGTCTTTTACTTGTATTATGTAGTCTACTCTGTATCGCCTCTATTCTAACCGATAATCCCTTGCTCGATTTTAGGTCTATGTTCTATTACATCTTATGCAGTCCAGCTGACAAGTGCTTATCTATCGCGATTCCATCTGGCTCTCCTCATCTGAAGGACTGTCGTGTCCATGATTAGGCAAAACACCTTTGCCTTGAGGCTCTTCCTCGTCGTCAACGTCTGCAAGATACATCCACCAAAAGTACACACCGCAGCACAAGCTACCTCCAAGGATGTTTCCAAAGAGGGCAGGGATCATGCCTGGAAAAGTCTCAGTAAATATGTTTGAGTCAGATGGCGCAGGCGACTTACCCTTCCAGATATACAGCCCAACAGTCAAGCCAGGTGTACCCATCCAGATACCAAGAGGCATAAAGAACATGTTAGCAACAACATGGTCAAAACCTAAGGCTACAAAGGCAAATATGGGAATCCACATTCCAACGACCTTAGAAGTCAAGTCTTTTGCTTGTACACCGAGGAAACAGGCCAAGCAAACAAGCCAGTTGCAGCCAATAGCACGAAGGAAGATTTGGTATGCCTCGGGAGTAATTTGCTTCTTTGTTGTGAAGGCGATGATTTCTTCGCGGTATGGGTCTGAGTCAAATATGCCTCCGTCTGTCGACGATATGGTTAGATAGTGACACGTGAGTAACTTCTGATGTGGCTACTTACATCCGACAATGATGGCCATTACAAAGAGACAGCCGCCTAGGTTGCCGAAGAAACACAGGAACCAGTGGAGTAACATCCTCCATATCGATAGTCTTCCATTGAGAACAGCAACAAAGGTGAACTAAAACGTCCATTAGACAAAGTGCTTCCTAAGGCTTGATACATGAGTTAACCCACCAGATTCGTTGACGTAAACAGGTCGGCACCCGTCAATATCACTGTGACCAAACCCAAAGGAAAGACAATAGCTCCAATGAGCTTGATGAGGCCCGGTGCATTCTCCTGATACCATGGTGCCGTCAAAGCTGTTAATGAAACAGCACATCCAAAAGCCAAGATGCATCCACCAGAGATACCAGACAGCAACACCTTATCCGGTCTCGACCTTCCCTTCTTCACACCGGCTCGACATATAAGTTCCGCCGTCTCAGCAGGCGTGTAAGCCAAAGGGCTCGCAAGATCAATAGTCATCTTGGCCATTTCGGCGACTCTCGAAGCAAACAAATATTCACACTTACCAAAAGAACCCTTCAATTGCCTCAGCGGGACTCTCCCCGTTCTTATCCTCCCCTGCGGTGAAAAATTCCCATCTTGGTGTCGGCATTCTTTCACACTCTAAACCGCCCCGTTCCCACCATGCCGAGCAATGTCGAGAAAACTCCGTACGTAATCCACTGTACTAGCTTCCAGAGCCAAGAGTCTAGACCAGTTCAAGGAGCATCCTTATCTCTGGGATGTTTCCCGAAGCGGATATGGTGGCTTGCGGTGCAAAGTCGGGATACGACACACCTGCAGATGAGGCTCAACGGCATCTTTTTTAGTTCTTCTTGACTCCTTCCAGTCGTGAAAAAAAAAAATTCGAAGAGTTGAAAATGCGAGTGATACAGAGAAATTGGGCCTTTGGGGATGGATTAAGCTTGTTTCCCCATTTCGGTAATGCATCCCGCACTTTGCTCCACCGCTGATCCAGGCAGAGGTAATTTATGCTTAATAGCTCATAGATAAGAAACCCGTGGAGTCGTACCTTGTTTTGTTAGTCTTGGCCCGGTCGAGTGGATAAGCCTGTGACAGGACGGAGATGTCATTTGAGAATTTGATTCATAGCGGAGCCTCATCGGAGAAGTGTACGAATATTATGACGCTAATACTGGTGGGTGCTCTTGGGCAGCTATCTTGGCACTAATGAATTCAATCCGGGAGAACGGGAGTGGTGAGTCGGGCGATATCGGCATTTGAACCGGTTTCTGGATTGTTTATCATGACGCTTGAGCTAACAGAGATTTCAGAGTGCAGATCTTGAATTGCGACATTTGAATCTTCCCCAATTCTCCTTTTGTCATTTCACCGCGTATCATCACAGCAGCAGTGCATCCTACAGTGATGATGGACACTTCTCGGCCCTTGTCCTTCCGTCCATCCGCAAATCCGCAATAATCTCATGATAAGCTTATTGATCTTGCGGGGTCCCCGCGGGGTCCTTCTATCCGCATCTCTCTTGATTCTGACCTGGTCTTGTGCGCGGGTGCGGCTTCTGCGGCATCATCAACTGCGGGTTGCGGCGATTCCTCTCCGCAACAGAGGCAAATTCGTGATGTCTTCATATTATCATCTCATTAAGCACGAATTCTTGAATATCTTATGATCCCAGGTTCCTCATCCGTTCTTCCGGGACTGGATTTGATTGTTGGCCCTTGGAAGTTGGGTTTTATGCCGGGTCAAGGCCCCACTGCAAAATGGAATCATTTGGTCAGGCATGTGAGTCAGGCATTAATTGATAGCTCTACGTCAGTCTATATATATTGGTATATCCTCGAGTCTATAGCTAGTAAGTACCTACCAACTGATAGGTCCGATGTAAGCGTCACTTCTTTGGACTCGCCGGCCTCTGGCTGCATCACGACTTAGCCTCTGGATCTTGGTAAAACTATCCCTTTCACCAAAATCAGCCTCGTTTCACTGGACCAGAAGTTCCAGACATCAGCCTAGCCGCAAACGGAACGGGCCAGGCAAAGGTGTCTGTAGGGTCGTCGATGACCTCCCCTGTCGTAACGACATCGATGACAGCAACGGCAGTATAGCCTCCGATAGCGGTGAACACATGCCACCTGGCAGATATTAGCTTGACTCAAGGTCATGAAATGGGGTACAACTCACCATCCATGAAGTTCCAAAAGAAACGCAAAGGGTAGGCCAACTGCATGTCTTGCACTCGTCAGATACCGACAGGCAAACTCGTCAATCAACCAAACGATGTATCCAAAGCCGAAGAATCCTATCATAATCAGCCCCGCTCAATAGGTAGACGCCCTTTGTATTACATACCGAGTCCTAGAATAGCCATGTTTTGGAATTTCTTCCTGATAATTGGGTCCTTGACCTGCTGAGGAATAACCTTCAGCACACGAGTAGCAATAACATAAATTCCCAAGCCAAACGTAGTGGCGTGTAAAAGGAACTCATCCATGACCATATGAGTGACCATGACAATCGTGAACAATGTTGAAAGAACGATCCCAATGATTCGAGTCTTTTGAGGACTGGCTTTGAAGCTGAGAAGACGATAGATGAGGGGTGTGGTGAGAAGATGCATTGACAGTTCATCAGCTAGCAATTGTTAGGCCTTCCCTCACTGAAGTAGAAGTATGCTTACACATTTGAGTATGATACTTCAAGGTCATGTGATATCCAGCTGAACATATCCCCACGCCTATTAGTCCACAGTATGAGGCCAAGCGTGGCCCAGTCGGAAATTTAGGCGACGTCAACAAGCCATAGAGTCCATATGCCACTAATAGCAAGGTCAATTGCAGATCTCAGGCTATAGTAACATCACTTACCATATGTGAAACTGCTAAGAGTATTTATAAACTCAGCGATGTACCGTGTGATAACATAATCCTAAGACGACACGTTAACTCATCCCATTCAAGGGAGACCATTGCGGTATTTACCTCTTCACAAAAGCTACAAAAATTAGTAAATCTTCTTAGTTCTAGTTGACCTAAGAACTTACTTTAAATAAGAGGTCTGAGGACCCCAAAACGGTGCTGCCATGGCCGATCAATTCCGTAAATTCTGATGTTTTGTTCTCACATGCGTCGAGGCACTGAATGGCTTTTGGAGACAAGAATTAAGGCGGTGAAGTGTTGCAGAATAGACTCGAAGATGCCTCGGAACGAACGGGATGACGTGTATATGGAAAATGTCTAAGGATCTGAAATGCCCGCGGGCTGCGATGTTTCACATTCCGGGGCTTTGAGTTCAGCAATTATTTCCGGTGATAAGAAATCCGAATTTTCTCATTGGATATCAAGGAAAGCCACTTTAGTGTAACATGCGTGCACTTTGTCGTGGCTTGGCATTCACATGGGATATTGAACTCAAATCTTCTTGTTTCAGTGAAAGAGTTTATTACGGTTACAGCTTGATTAGTAATTATCGTGATGGCCGATCGTATTGCGATAGTGTCTCATTCCGTGTGGAGTTCATCCTTGCGAGGTGCAGCCATTCGCAAGTCGTCTGACTCAGCCCTAGCGATGCTGCTCAAGAGAAGACCATTTATCATGAGCAGCCGCCTCTACAATCAATCTTTTCGATATCCTGTTTCTTTGCCTTGCCAGTATTTAAAAGTGCCCAACTGAACATAACTACGGCAAAAATGTCTATCTCATTGCTCAAAAGGTATCTACCGATATCACTGGCACTCCTTCTCTTCTACGGCAGCGCCTCGCGATTTACCCATGGCGCAACATCAACAGCATCTTTCTATCAATATCAAAATGATCGAAGTCCCGATGATGGGTCAACTCTTTCCCGTGTCATCCCTGTCTTCGATGTTATCGTTGGAACTACCATTCTACAACAAGGACTGTCACGCAAAGTTGCAACATGCTTTGTGGCATCGACCATCACCAGTGTAGCTTTTCAGCGTTACTTGGGTGGCTTGGATTGTCAAGGGGACTTTCTACAGGGTATTTGGGCGACTGCTGCAGCGATTGCGACTCTGATATGAAATCTGTGGCGTAGTAGCTGTCCAGGACTTTTCGTGCATTCTGGGTTGGGTTATTTCGGTTCTTAGAGGTGCCACGGGCTTCGACTAGATACGGAGGATACTCCAAGTCATTGCGGCATCTTATCTTTGTGCATTTTCAGCCAGTTCCATTCAAAGGGCGTAATGAGTATGGTAGCATCGGCTTAAGCCCGTAGATCTTGTGTTTGACGAGAAGGGCGCAGATCGTAACCGAGCTACCGAGGTCGGCGTTAGCTCATTACTCTGTTTGGGATAGCTTATCTTATCTTTACTGGACCACCTATGTAAGAGAACCATTGTCTTTCAACAACCGTCAGTTTGTTATATCAACGTAGCATTTCACTTTTTTAGCAGTCCTTCATTAGGATACTGCCAACCTAATAATTCAATGTGGTCTAGGCTCATATCACGTCCCTACATTCGCGCGTCGCACGTCAGGCGGCATATCTTGCCAATAAGCCAAGCCAGATATTTGTCAACGCCGTCGAATTATCGGGTTGTTGAGCATACTATTGATTGCAGTCATTCAAGAGAATATCTCTCTGAGACGGCAAATGGCAATGAAGACATACCAAAGCTTGCTGTGAAGCAATACGTCCCCCACGACAACCCCAATCCTCAACCTGGTGATGTGACCATTATCGGTGCTCATGCAAATGGTTTTCCAAAGGTAGCGAAGCTACATGATCTAAGGAACAAAACTTAGCTGACTTGTCAGGAACTATATGAGCCGCTATGGGATGAGCTGTATGACCGAGCAAGACAACAAGATCTCAGGATACGATCGATTTGGATTGCAGATGTATGGAATCAAGGTCAATCAGGGGTTATCAACGAGAGAGTGCTTGGCAATGATCGTGAGTACAATCTATATTGGGAACCATCGCCATTACTAACATATTACAGTCAGTTGGTTTGACCACGCAAGAGATATGATGAATCTCATCAACCAGCATCAACGAGACATTCCTCATCCGATCGTCGGTATTGGTCATAGTATGGGTGGAACTCAGCTGTAAGTAGCTATCACCGACACTGGTGCACTTAGAAAATACCTCTAACTTAAGAAAGGGCACAGTTAGCACTCTGGCACCCTCGGCTCCTGGACTCATTAGCACTTATTGACCCCATCATCCAAATTCCAAACCCAAGCATTTCCTTGGCCGGTCTTTCTACAAAGAGGCGGGATATCTGGCCATCAAGAGAAGATGCTGTTGCAAGGTTTAAGAAGAGCAAGTTCTTCCAGTCTTGGGATCCTCGTGTTCTTGACCTTTGGATAGAACATGGGCTTCGAGATGTTCCGACTGAGCTTTATCCGAAAGAAGGGGGTTCAAGTCCAGGTGAGCGAGTTACTCTCACGACGTCGAAGCACCAAGAGCTCTTCAGCTTTGTTCGACCGACATACTTAGCAAGACACTGGGAACCAACCAACGATCAAGACCCAGAACAGAATAAAGACTGTCCCGAGTACCCATTTCACCGCCCAGAGCCTCCAAAGATATTTCGCCACTTACCCGAGCTTCGACCAAGTACTTTATTCGTCTTCGGAAAGCAATCAGAGTTTTCATCACCGGAGCGACGACAGGAAAAAATGCTGACAACCGGCACCGGAGTTGGAGGCAGCGGGGGCGCAGCTGTTGGTGAAGTTCAAGAGGAGACACTTGACTGCGGCCATTTGATACCCATGGAGAAGGTTTCCGAGTGCGCAGATGTCATCTCTTCATTCGTCGGAAGGGAAAGTATACGATGGCGTGATCAGCAAGGATCTTTCAAGAGGTACCGTGAAAGCATGTCGAGACGACAACAAATCACGATCGATGAACAATGGGAGGACAAGGTTAAGCTTGGTGATAAATACTTAAAGTCATAGAAGCCCTCGTGCCAAACCAATCTTGGTAACACGACTTAACTCAATAGACACTTGGTAGAACAAAAATGCAATAGATGTGATTTATGATGCGAAAAAGGAAATAATGCAAAAAAGATATCTTGATGAGACTGGGACTCGAACCCAGGAGGATTGCTCCACCAGGAAATTGGTGTTAAGGTTAACCTTAACCTGGCGCCATAACCAACTCGGCCATCTCACCGATGTAATTGGATGAAAACCAAGTGACCAATTAGAATCTAAAACCGCTAATGATGAGGCTCCCACAAACTTAGCCTCAGATTGTTCACCCCAATTGAGCGTTTGCCACGTCACGTCTAGCTAGTAACAGAGTGAAGGGGAATCTAATTCTTACTCCGGTGCCCTCTCTGTTTAGTTGTGGTGAAGTCAGAGGGGCTGCGCAGTCAAGAGGAGAGCTGTCCCATCAACTTATGACTCGTCAATTATCCTTTATAGGCACCAACCAATCACAACTATGATTTAAGAAAGTAACTTACTTGCTACCCTCACAGCCATTCAATATCTTATCTCTATTCGCTTTACCCACAGATGCTTCGGCGTTGCTTTGCCAGTGACTCATGACCGTGGCTTCTATACCATGTGAGAGGCTTAACCAGAACTCTCAATACAAAGGCATCATGACGCTCGTGATCTTAAGGTGAAGCTGTATAAGAGAACGGACTCCCACATCCCTATTGTTCTCGTTTCCTCTCTTGTAAAACAAAGCGGACTGGCTCTTATGCTTCTTTGGTCCTTATCATGTTCTTCCAAATAGTATTGTCTTATTGGCTTATTTTCTTATACTCTGGCACCGTCGACCGCAGCGTGCGCGTATCGAAGAAACTTCCCAAATTGACCTACCATATTGATTCGTGACATGTCTGTTCGGCCTCTCATTCGACACGTAGTAGCCTGTTCGCAAACTCAACCATTTTGCTTCTCAATTTCGCCTCTTAGATACCATCAGGGCTAAGGGCACATCTGTAGAACTCAGATCCCCTTCGTCTATAAAATTTCCCTCTTCGTGCCACTCTTTCCCTCAGAAGCTTCTCCTTAGCATCACACACATTTCCCAAGCATACTGCAAGCACTGTTGACATTTCTCCTTCAATCTCAGCTCGCTGCTATATTTCAAAGCGTGTGCACCGCTTACTGAAGTTTTGGATCATCCGCTACTTGACTTCTCTTTTACTTTATCTGTCTCTTGGGCACCAGACTCATCGCTTTCACTGTCTACTATTCTTCATCGCCTCATTAAACTTTGCAGCTCTGCGCTTTACATCTTGTTACAATGTCTAGCACAACTATCACCAACAACAACTCACCTGAGGTTGCCGAGGATTTTAACGTCAGTTCTGATCTACCACTCCAACTGACATCCTCTTTACGACAAAACACAGCTTCCATCACACCATCTGTGTTCACGTCAGCATCTTCTGTCTCTGAATCATCTCAGACATCTATTACAACATCTAAACAAGGAGACACTAACGCAGCATCTGGAAGCAACACCATCTTTGGCATTGTTTTTCCCTCTCCTCCTCCCAACACTCCAGCCGAGAACTGTGGTGGCATCTCTGTTTCAAGCAAACCATCACCTAAATCTAGCTGGACAGGAGAATATTCTCAGTCTGATCCTGGAACTCCTACCACTAACCTGTCTAAGCTTGGCTGGACAGGAGAATACTCTGATCCTGGTACCCCCGTCAATGGGACGTCTAAGCTTGATTGGACTGGAGAATACTCTCAATCTGATCCTGGTACCCCTATCACCAGCATGTCTAAACTTGGTTGGACGGGAGAGTACTCTACCTCTGGTGTCGAGCCTGAATATTTGATGGCAAGACTCAGCACTGTGGCAAACAAGTCAGAGGATGTGCCTGATAAAGCTCAGTATGAAGACGAGGAGAAGTCTTCTGGGGAGAGCTCCGGGACCAAAAGGGATTCCACTGCTTCCATTGTCAGAGACATCAATTCTGAGGAAGAAGAGGTAGCCAAGTTGGCACGTCAGGCTGTCTGGCGTGTGACTCCCCGCTCAGTTATGGAATCTCTTGACATTAAGCAAGTCAAGTCTGGAGTGGTCACTATCACCAACTCGGTAGCCCAGCCTCAATCTGCTGTTCTATGCAACATTGAGGATGAATCAGTTCCCGAAGCGGAAGAGGCTTTGGTGTCCCCTCTTACTGAGGCAAAGTCCACAAATGATGCCGAACTTGTCAACGGAGAAAAGACTGGTACTATGGGTTGCATGGCTTCCTGCATGAGTGCCTTCAAGATGGGCAGCAGGTCCAAACCCCAGGTACCAGTCAACCAACCCAAGCATGCCACTCTCTCACCAGGAAAGTCTTGTCTCAAGCCAACTTCTTCTCTGGCTGGCACAGTTCTTGATAGAACCGAGGAAGACAGTCCTATTCAGCCTGTTCCAGCACCCAAGACCCCAAAAGGCGCAAAGGTGACTTTCGATCTAGACGAGGCAGCCGAGGGTGACGAGTCCAAGCCCAGGCCCAGGCCCAAGCGCAAGTCTAGGTCTCATTTCAACTTCAACATTGTGCCACAGCTCTTTAGCAAAAATGGCAATGAGGACATACAAGACAGTTCTGATGAGGAAGAAATCGATGATCCAGATTCACCATTTGCAGCACAAGACTTGGAAATCCAACGCCGTCTTGCAAGAGCTGACGTTCACCGCGACGCAAATGAACGCACCTCCATCATCCGAGGCGCGCTGGACTTTCTCTTGGTTGTCTGTGATAGAGTCGACACTGTTGCTGCTGATCGCATCAGCGACCTCTTGAACAAGACTGGGGATAGGTGTCTTGGGAGCTATATTGGTGAAGAAAAGGATCATGTGAATCCTCATCAATATGCGAATAAAGTTGATAAGAGACTGTACCGTTCCAAGGAGACGGCTATGTCTTATTCAAGAAGACGACAGCCTCGCAATATTATTCGCCTTGGAACTCCTTTTGCGAGGGACTGGCCGCAATTCCATTATTAATGGATACTCTTTTTTCTCGTTGAATATTGGACAGTTGTTGTTTAGAGTCGCGTTTGAGTTAAATGAGCGGAGCTGGGGTGATTTGAAGCATATGGGATGATTGATTATACATGATAGCGACACCTCAGATGATGAAAAGGCTGCAATAACATAGATACCCACCATTGATGAAAAGACATTTTTTGCTTCTTGCTCATAATTTTCTGACCTTTATGATCCTTCAGTGACATGTATGTCCACCAGTCTCAATATGTCTACTCTCATAGCTCCTACAGGGATATACCTTCAGTCTTTCACTCGTGACTCTTTCATGATGTCTGCCATAGCGTCAGCCTTATGGCATCTGATCCAGAAAAGAAGTGACTTGGCACATTTTGATCTAGAAAGACAAAAGAGGAGGACTTGAAGACAAATAGATCTTCTTGTTGCCACAATGACTGCCACAGCGTCACGTGGCTCTATCATGTAGTCATGAATAGTTGACGTGGTGGTACGGGATTGCTTGTCATACCGTGTGTAGATCCTCTATGTCATGAGTAAAGAAATATGGATTTTTGGTCCTCAAGATCGGCCACTTGACGGAAGCTCGATATTTTTAATCAGCTTTCGTCTTATTCTTATCTTCGTCTTCAGTACACTATGCAGTTAATATCTACTTCATCTATCTTCAATCGTGATTTACCCTTCGAGAACGGCATGTCAACTTGTGGCATACCTTCACGTAAGTTTATCTTGATCGCCATCCTCACAAGACTTTGCTTCCGTAGCCACCCACACCCAAATCTTGAACGCCACAAATAGGCAGCTCATGAAGCGGCTCGGAACCGGGCTCAGCCGAGACAACATCTTCTGTTCTTGGGGCAGATCATAGTCTTAGGAAGACATGCATAAGTTTCGGAACTTATGTATCTGCGCAGCTGAAAGAAATCCTGAATAATGAGCCTTTCACTTTCTTCCGATTGGTCCATTGAGCCATGGGGCGTTTCCTTTGCCGTTAGTTATGTGGTTGGGCACCAGGTTTCGGAGGCCGGGCCCTCCATCATCCCTTTCGTATTGGAGTCTCCGAGCGACTCTACCAGTCTGATAGGTTTTTATACCGTCTACTTGCTATCTCAAATACACCTAAACTCTGCTGGGAGCAAAGATTTTGCTTCTGCCCTCAGCGGCTATTCTCATTGACGGCACCACAGCGGTTAGGAGAGTAATCACGGACCTTAAGGGCTGTGGAGAATTATCTGCCTCCTACTATGTTCCACTAATATGCGTGTACCTTCGGCGTTTTCTCAGCACATACCTCTTATGCCACTGACTCACCTTCAATGTCGTACATGGCCCGTTCGCCATGTCGTATTCACCGACGTGGCCAGGTATCCTCCTAAGTATCATCGTCTCCAGTAGGAGGCGACCTCGTATCTCACATATGCTTGCAATCCTGGGAAGACTAGTGTCATCCCCGCTTGAAGGACCTTCGTTAATTATGACTATGTTTATGCCCTTGTCGTATAGGACGTAGGAACCACTGGCTATGTTCAGCAGCGTAGCAATCATGCGGGGTATTTGCATTAGTTGTTCTGCAATGAGCCAGGATGCAACCTTATTTCTCAGAGTATCTTCAGCTGGAGGGGTTATAGATCAGCTGTTAGTACGAGTTGTTTTAATTTGGGCCAGCTATTGATTAATTAATAGAAAGTTGATGGTGTATCAAGAAGCTAGATTGTATGAGTTGCTCATATCACCAATAATCGCACATCAACGTACAAGTCTAAAAACCAGTTGACACATATACAAAGAATGACTCCTTTGTACTGGTTGCTGTTTTCTGATATGTAGTCCGGCGGCGGCGAAAGAATCTTGGCCCCTTGATCCTAGACGATAAGAGAATTTAGGTATATAGGCAGTTTAGCCTAAGCTTAGAGAACTCTTTGCCAAGTTTCTTCCAGCATTGTTCTCAACCTTAAGTTTTCTTAATCCCTGAGGATGCTGTTATTGGTGGAACCAGTGCTCTGCATATCATGGATAGTTTCTGCGGATACAATTCGGTCGAGCTTTCGTCTTCGGTCCCGAACTCAACCGCGCTCCCTCCCTCCATCACATCAGATCACATCTGGAAGTATGAGATAACGAATGAAAGGCTATGATCTCCCTCGCACGGCATTTAGAGCTTCTATCTGGGTCGTCCCGTCCCGCGGCAGTCATGGACGAAGCTCATCTAGCCAGTACTCTTCAGGTAAAGATGTGAAGTTCATGATGCAACAATGTAAGTCTAGAGCGAGACAAATATCTATAAAAGCTAGGGCATCTCCCGCTCAAGCTGCCTTTCTGATATCCTCACTCACAGCAGTATTCCAAATATCAAACAACCATCTCGAATCTCAACTATAACTTGACAAGATGCGATTTACCATGTTGACTTCATCCCTTCTTCTCGCTCAGGTCAGCTGCCTCGCTGCTCCTCCCATTAACACAGCTGAAGGCTTTTCTCCCGTTCCGAGAAGCAAGCTTGAGGCTCGTGATTCCTACGACTGCAACGGAAGCGGACTCTGCGGCATAATCCCCGTCAGAGACTGCGATCAAGCCGTCAACAACAGACTGATTCGTAACAACGATGTCAACTATGGAGCACCTGGGTAAGTTGACTCTTATCACATACTAGAAACTGTGTGACTGGATCTAACAGTCAACATCAGGAGCGGGAGACCCCAGACTGGTACATGCCAGGGCAACTGCGGTATCTTCATCCAGGGGAGATCTACCTGTGCTCGCACGGGCAATCAGATCTGGTATGACTATCAGGACATCAGACGAAATGGTTGCCGAATCTGCGGCAGTAAGCATTGGGGAGATGGTTGCTTGACTACCATCAACCGTGTCACTGGCTGTCCCAACTGAGACTTGACGATTAGGTCTTGACGGTTCAAGCCTCTAGCAGTATCGTGTGAGATATCTTATCTCATTCTAGAATACAGATCCTATACTTGAGATGTCCGTATTAGAGCAAGTGAGCGTGATTATTGTGCTATATATACTGCTTCAGGCTGAAGAACTACGTTCTGTTGCCCCGTGTGTAGTTACTGGAAGTCAGCTTTTGTACTCTCACAAGTGGCTGTTATTGTATAAGTCGCCAGAAATTTTGCCGAGGCACATCAGTCCAAGGTAATCCTCTCCTCTCGATCTTCATAGAACTATGCAGTAGCTCTCTACGTCCTCTCCCTCCTCTTAACCATGATCTGCACACCACTCGGCGGATTATTCGCCTCAGCAATCCAATAGTTCGGCGGCCTCTTTCCCTCATACTCATCCGCAAATTTAATATCATAATTCCTCAAAGCATACGCCAAGATCATCTTCATCTCAAAGTCAATGAGGAACCGTCCCGGGCACGCATGCTTCCCATGTCCAAAGGTCAAGAACTCAGGCGACGTTGTGACAAACGTAACAGGCGGTGCTTTCTCGTCCCGATTAGCTGCTGTCTCGCGAATCCTCGAGAATCTAAATGGATCGTATTTCAAACCGTCTTCGTAGAACTCGTTGTCGGTTTGTGCAGGGTGGCCCATGAAGGAGATGATTGAGCCCTTGGGGACGTGGTGCCCATCTTCGGTCTTGAAGTCATCGACCATAACTTTGCGAAACACAGCGCGTCCTCCGAAGGAACATAAACGGATTGACTCTCTCGCGACGCTATCAGCGCGCGTCATAGCTTGAATACCGCCCTTGGTCCAATTCACAGAGTCATCAGTCCCGAGAATATGATCCATCTCATCGCGAAGGGTAGCAATCGTATTAAACTCGGCATCAGAGCCCAACACGTTCAGAATGAGATTGACAACTTGTATCTGCGTGTTGTGAATTGATCCAAAGTTTTGAGCGACGACCCGACGAGCCAGGGACTCCATGTCGTTGACTTCATGCTGGCGATGGCGCAGAGCATAATTGATCATCATCTGAACTTGGTCCTGCGGCTGCGGTTCGTCGGGATGGTTGTTTATCCTGTCGAAGCGGTGTTTGAGGAGAGGAATGATCCATTTCTTCATCTTGTTTACCTTCGTCTTGACGATTTGGCCGAAGAGTGTTCCGGTTATGGGCTGTAGAATACGTGGTAGACCACCTGTGAGACCAGCGTTCATGATGAAGAGGTCGTTAGTCTCGAGCGCAAGCTGCAGATACTCTTTATTCCGACCTAGCTCATCAGCAGTGCTCCAAAACAATTGGCGTGATGCTTGACTTACAGAGTGGAAGTCCAACGGTGAAGCGACTGGCGGCCTGTGCCACGATCATCTTGACAGTCTTTGTAAGATCAACTCTCTTCCAATTCTCCGTATCAGTACCAAACTGCTCATCAAACACCTCGTGAAGTTCGTCCTTCATGTTATTCGCGATAATCTCAATCGCACGATTAAGATCATACTTTACAACAAGTCCCTGCCACGCATCAACGACATATTTCTCGTGCCCAAGCGACCATCGAACTTGATCGACTTCAGCGAACGCTTGCTCCATGTCGAGAACGTCGTCAGGTTGGTTGAGTACGCCTTTCATCTGGCTCTGTGGCAGATACACCTCTATTCGGACGCCAAAGCCTGGAATGACGACGGGTTTGCCCTTCTTGAGATACTGCGCTGTGTCAGTCAGTGGTGTAGTTTAGAAGGCAGGGAGACTGTACTTCATGGTATGCTTCGTAGAAGAGTGCTTGACAATCTGTGAGGTACGCCCATCGTGTACGAAGACTAAAGCGACGAGCACCCTTTGGCTCTCTTATAAGCGGGATATCCGGTGGATAAGGAACAGCAGTAAGCTTGTCAATCACATAAATCACAATAACCCCGATGACAACAATTGAGGCAATTCCCAACGGACTCGCCACACGAGCCAAAAGGCCCAACTCAGCGCTGGACGACATCTTGAGAGAACTAAAGAATTGCTTAGCTCCCAACACGCAGCGAGGGGCCTGCTGTATTTAATCCATGGCATGCCACTGGTGTAGAATGACGGCTGTGCATAAGCGCCTAAGCGCGGCACGGAATTCCGTCATGAGTAGTCCGTTCCATGATAAAAGAGTACTAAAAGGCGCGGCCATGGATGGAGATCCTTGTAGGATTGTAGATAGTGGTTTTACTATGCGGTAGTGCTGACGGCTAAGGCATAATGACAAGAAGTTGGCGGTTAAGTCAACGATCCGAGAGTTTACAGAGGGATTCTTAATTCAGACTGCATCGCCATGAAACTGATTCATTTCTACCCAAGTTGGATCAATCTCCTCTTCAGACTGTTGAATCGCGTATTGTGTCTGCGTGGCCTGCCCCGTCTCTCGAAAGTGGAAGACGCGATCTGGCAGTTTGATAGAAACTTATTCGGCATATCGACCCCAAGATCTATCGTAAGCACTTGCTCAAGCCTGATTCAAGGGTGCCTGGATGCTTGAGCCAGTGAATGAGCAAGCAGAGCTTCATGTGCCACACCTTTTGTAAACGAGTACGAATATCGCTGCATCTTACCCAAAGCGTTTCATTATCTGTTGGTTGGAGGTTTAGTTACATCTTACATGTCACACAGACAACAAAGTGTGACAACAGTTAGCCGTAGAAGGGAGCTGAACCATTAACAAGCCGCAGAGATTAAAAAGCAAGAGCAAAATTGTCAACGTCAAACAAGGCACTTATACAGACATACCAATCCCATGACCTCAATTTCCATCTCCAAAGAGCCTCAATCCACGATCCAGGGTAGCTCCATCCCCACATGCCATCAGGCCAGGGTGTCCCTGAAAACCCACTGAATTTAATAACCCCTCTGCCCCTCCACGCCACAATTCCCTCCACCAACACTGAAAATTTCTCCTCGACCACTAACCAGTCCCGTCCGCGCTCATGAATCGCAATACCTGCATCGTCTTCAACAAACAAGATTGAGCCCGGTTAGCTCAATCGGTAGAGCGTGAGACTCTTACGAGTACGCGATCTCAACGTTGCGGGTTCGACCCCCGCATCGGGCTATTCCTATAACAAATTTTTTTTGCACGTATTTCTGATGTTTTCATGTCGTAGAGATTGAGGTGTAAATCTTTTGTTTTAAATCGTGAATGGCGCTCGGTTATCTAGACGCGATACCCCTCCGTCGGAAGAGCGGGGCCGATCGGAAAATGGTGCCTCTTATCAGTTGATCACTTCCCTTCTCCATCGTCATCGTCTGCAAGACATCGCTCGTTCAAGACACTCGCTACGCTCAAACGATCAGTTGAAAGATTGAAATTATGGCGAGCAATAAACCGTATAAACCTGCGCTCATTATTGTCGACTTTCAAGAAGACTTCTGCCCGCCTGTGAGTATCTTCTCTGTCGCATGTGAACATGGAGGGATGAGTTGGGAATGGCTCCAAGCGAAGCTATATGGATATTCTGCGGGAATGCTCCAAAGACATGAGGACGCTAAGAGATCAGCTTGTGTTATGTACAGTCTGAACACGCGCGGTGTTGGAGGTCATATCTCTCAGCTTGAACCGCTTGCTATGAGACCATCATGTTGGTATAAGTGTACCAAGCCACGCCTTCTCATTCATCACCACATCTATCCACCTCTCATCTCACTCAAGCCTAGCTAACATCTCCAGTCCGGCTCCCTCGCCGTCCCTTCCGGCCGCACAATAGCCTCCCCAATAAACCACCTTACCACCCTCCCTTTCCCCCTCATCCTCGCAACAAAAGACTTCCACCCACCCTCTCACATATCTTTCGCCTCAAACCACGCCTCCTCAACACCATACACATCAACTACAACAATCCAGCACCCCAACGATATTTCCCAGAGCTACGAAACAACGTTATGGCCAACACATTGCGTCCAAGGCACCCCGGGCTGTGAGCTGGTCCCGGAGCTAGACGTCTCGCGTGTCCATGCCGTTATCGAAAAGGGGCAGGATGAGCGGGTGGAGATGTACAGTGCATTTTATGATCCGTTTAGGGTGAGCGATAGTGGACTCGCCGGCATGTTGAGTGAGCAGGGTGTTACGGATGTTTTCGTGGTAGGGCTGGCAGCGGACTTTTGCGTCAAAGCTACGGCCGAGGATGCGCTGAAGGAGGGGTATACGACGTGGATTGTCAGCGAAGGGACAAAGCCAGTCATGCTTGACAAGTGGGAGGAGTGCAAGAAAGACATGGAGGACAAGGGTATCAAGTTCACGTCCATTGATGGAGAGCCAGTGGCAAGGGTGAAGACATATGCATGATTTAACAAAAAAGGATTAAAATTGAATTGCGAAGTGGTACTCTAACATAACTACCATCTTCAATATTGCCATCTTTCGGCGGCTGTATATGCATGTATGGATGCTTTCATCTTTCCAGAATGTTCAATGCAAAAACTCCATGCTGTGTGACCATTCACTCCATCCCAGACCATGTGTGTAGTGTATCATACTCATACATGCTCTCGTCTATGTAAACTTTTTATCACCCGCTCGCCTCTACTCCTTCAAATGCAAAGTTATTCGTCTATCGCTTTGACCTCTGAATAGCAGCGGCGCTCATCGACGTTGTTGACGCTGAGCGCTCTTGGGCATTGGTCATGGCCAGTGAGACGGGCGTCATGGGAGGAGCAGGAGTGGTGCTGCGAGAGGGAGCGGCACTTCGGTTATGCTGCATGTGAGCTCGGACGAGATGACCGGCGGCCAAGGCACTGCAGAGAGAAAGCTCGCCGGCGAGGACGGCTGCACCGATGATGCGGGCGAGACGGCGGGCGTTGTCACCGGGGTTGGTGGGGTGAGAGCCTCGGACACCAAGGATGTCAAGCATGGCGCCCTGGGGCTCGAGGATGGTACCACCGCCGAGAGTTCCGACCTCGAGCGAGGGCATAGAGACGGAGATCTGGAGAGCTCCATTGAGGCTATTGACGTTAGCATGTTTCCGACTTGATGTGCGAGACAAACTTACTTCTTCATGATGGTGATACAATTGGCGCTCTCGACAACCTGAGCAGGGTCCTGTCCAGTGGCCAGGAAAATAGCAGCGACAATGTTGGCAGCGTGGGCGTTGAAACCACCAACTGAACCAGCCATAGCAGAACCAATCAAGTTCTTGGCAACGTTGAGCTCAACAAGAGAGTCGACATCGCTCTTGAGAACGCTGCGGACGACCTCACCGGGAATGATAGCCTCAGCAACAACACCCTTACCACGTCCATCGATCCAGTTGAGGGCCGCGGCCTTCTTATCCGTACAGTAGTTACCAGAGACAGAGATGATCTGCATGTCGTCGAAACCTCCCTCGTTGGCCATGACGCTCAGGGCGTGCTCGACACCCTTGGAAATCATGTTCATACCCATAGCGTCACCGGTGGTGGTCTTGAATCGAATGTATAGGTTGGTACCAGCAAGAGCAGTCTTCATGGACTGGAGACGGGCGAAGCGACTGGTTGAGTTGAAAGCCTTCTTCATCATATCCTGACCAGCTTCAGAGTCGAGCCATAGCTTGGCAGCACCAGCGCGCTCAAGAGTCTCGAAAGCGACACAGGGACCACGAGTCATACCATCGGCAGTGAGAACAGTGATAGCACCGCCACCAGAGTTGATGGCCTTGCAACCTCGACTGGCACTGGCAACCAAGACACCCTCAGTAGTAGCCATGGGGATGAAGTAGCTCTGTCCGTCGATGACAAGAGGACCAGCAACACCGACGGGAAGAGGCATGTATCCAATAACGTTCTCACAGCATGCGCCGAAAACGCGCTCCCAGTTATAGTTCTCGTAAGGTAGCTTGGATCGGTCGAGCGAGTGAGTCACGTCGGTGGTGGCCTTGTTGCGAGCGATAATGCTTCGTCGAATCTTGACAGCGCGAGTGAAGTCACCGAGGGTCTTTTCAAGTGCGTAACCAGGGATCTTGCCACGCATAGACAGAGAAATAACCTCCTCGTCGGTCATTTCGCGGACGCGCTTCTCAGACAAGAGCTTCTCAAGTTCTTCGTTGCTTCGATTAGGCAGGTTGGCAGGGCGAGCCTTTGTCATGTGAAGACCCTCGGCCTCGTCGTCGGTAATAGCAGGAGTGCTGGGTTGGGTTCGCATGGGAGTAGGAGGGACGTATTCGCCGAGAGGAAGAGTAGCGGAGCCGGTATCGTTAAACTGCTGCGCACGGGCAAGTTCGTTTCGGTCGATGTTGTGCTCAGGAACATTGGGGTCCTTGATTCCCCAGCGGGCGACGTTGAAGAGGTAGCCGTTAAGAGCGACGCTGAGAGCAAGGGCAATGACAATCCACTTGGAGAGGACGGGATCCTCAAGAGACTTGAGAATTCCGCCAACCATGCGGCCGCCGACACCGTAGCCCTGGAAGTGGTGGTGGAAAGCATCGTTGTAGGCAGGGTTGCTGGCGGCAGAACCAAGAGCGTAGTGGATCGAAGGGTACTCGAGCTCGTACTTGATGGGAGTCAAGACAGTGACCAAGGTAGGTCGGTTGTTGGACTTGGCGGTAGCGAGGATGGCATCTAGACCGTTGGAGGCAACCTTGAAGGGGTCAACGGAAAGAGGAGCGACAACACCGCCCAGACTGCTGGCCCAGGTTCGGATGGTGGACATAGAGCTAGGGTTGCGGAATGGGATCGAGCAGATGTTGACAATGTTGACGAAGATGAAGCCGAGAATCATCAAGACCTTGAACTTGGGAATGCTGCTGCTCTTGCGGCCAAACAGAGGGGCGTCACCCCTGACGCGGTTCAGCTCATCATCACCCTGGGCGACATTCTCGGCAACACGACGGCTGACGCCATCATCCTCAAGGGCCATACGCATATCGACATGACGCTTGATACGGTTGATCTCAAGCTTGATGCTGAGGATAGCAGTGTAGAAGGTGAAGAGGAGGATGAAGTCGAAGAACAAGGTCCAGGCGGCCAGGAAGCAGAACTGCTGGAGACCACCCTGCACACCAGAGGCAGCACCAATGACAAGAATGACAATCTCGATAGCGTAATCGCGGATGATCTCGAAACCCTTCTCCTTGATGGCGGCCTGAACAGCATACTGGATCATGTTCTGCATGGAACGCTCGGGAGATCGCTTGCCAGACTTTGAGTTCTGAGCCTGGATTCGTCGGTGCTCAATGGCGTGCGACATGACCGCGCGGGTGAGAACAATGTTCTTCTCGAAGCCAATGGTGACAACCAAGAAGGGGAGACCCTCAGACAAAAGAATGACGCTGATAGGAACACCCAGCTTGGTGGTGACGACGAGACCGAAGAGGAAGGCGAAGACAGAGGAGAACAGAGTGCAGATGCCGAGCCAGAACTTGGAACCCATCTTGCGCATAGAGAGGAAGAGAGAGACAAATGTCAAGTGCATGGCAATGTAGCCAAGAAGCATGATGACGATATCGAGAGTCTCGGCGTTCTTGAGAAGGTCGAGGAACTCGGTCCAAGCATTGCTAACCCACTGGACAACACTGTTGCGGGTGTTGACCTTGGCAGCCTTCATGATCCATGTTTTCTTCTCGCGTCCGTGCTTGGTCTCAATCTCGACGGCATCTTCGTTGGGAATCTCTTGGGCAGCAGCAAGGAACTCGGGACCCTCAGAGTAGGGAAGAGCGTAGGCGAGGATGCTGTCCTGAGAGTAGGCGGTGAACGGGTTTTCGGTAGAGGGAAGAGACGTAATAGACAGGTTCTGGGGGATAGGCACGTGGTGAGAGCGAGGAGCAGTGCTGGAGGACTCCGCGGAGAGGCTGTCGGGGAAGACAAGAGTCAGGAGGGCAAGGTGGTCGGCAACCGAGCCAGCATCGGCAACGACATCCTGCTCGACGGCCTTCCAGTTCCAAGCAGTTTCAGGTCCTGCGCGTAGGACTCGACTGCCTTCCACGAGGGTAGACCAATCGGCCTTGCCAAGAGTAGCGCTTTCAACATCGGTGTTGAAGAGACTCTCCTGGAGAAGGCCGACGTATGAGGTGCTCGCAAGAACGGCGACAACGACGACGGTGTGTATCGGGTGAGAGCACGCGAGTCGGGAGAGGAACTGGGCGATGGGCGTAAGTCGCTTGGAGGCCCATGACGGCGTAGTTTTTTCGGTGACGGGAGCTTCGCCGCGGAACCGCTGCGGCAGGAGAATCGCAGCCATGATATCGGGTACGATTCGAGGATTAGAAGGGCTATTCGTCGATGTCGTTTACCACATTGATTTTGGTCTAAGCGCAGGTGTAAGTCCGGGGAAGAAGAAAAGATCTGGAGAAAAGGCGGGTATTTGAAGTAGCCATTGACAACACCACAACAAATAAATGGGTGCAACAACGGAGCAGATGACGATTATGGGTGAGGCTTAGGCAGATGAAATGTATTACTTACATTCCCTGAGTGACAGTCCTATTACTTCCAACTATTCGAGGCGGATGACCCAAAAACGCGGTGGGAGGTGGAGGGGCAAGGCGTTGAGGCCGAGCTGAGCTGGGTACAGCCACAGAAAAAAAAGGGACGAACCAAAGGAGGCGACGACCACCAACTCGACAAGGCAACAGAGAAAAGGATTATTCTCTGATGTGAGAAGGGAAGCGATTACGACTGGGAGAGGGGAAATAGAAAAAAGAGAAGGAAGAAAAAAGAGGTAAAAGGGGGTCAAGAGGGTGTGGAGGGAGATTGAGATTGATGGGATGGTCCAAGAAGCGGGAAATGATGGAGACCGGAAGAAAGTGGAGGGATATTCAAACTGTCGGTCGGAGGGTAGTAGGATCATAGGCAGTCTAGTTAGGCGGAAGACGCCTATTCTGTTAGGGGACTCAGCGTTGAACAAACGGCAGGACCAATTAATACCGGTACAGTAAAGCCGAGAACTAATCTGGTTGTGGAGAATGCCTTTGATCTCTTTTTTTCTCAATGTGAAATGGCGGCGTTGTCACTGAAATTACAGAGTAGACTCAGGAAAAAAAGATGAGATGGCCATCACCGATTTCACGAAACAACAGTCTGACTGGCCAATTGGTCTACAAGTGCATGCGACAAACCAATCGGACAGCTTGTGTCATCACGGTACATTACCACAAGCTGCAAGATTCCGCGCCGAGCATAAGATTTTACGGATGAGTACCTTGTCTGTATGCACCGCTGGGAGAAAGGCCGGCTGTTAAGTGGCTTGCAGACCAGGGCACTACTGTGGCGTATCGACCGCGTGGGTTACAGGGAAGGCATTGACTCCTTTCAGGGCGATCATCATGCGAGCAATTGACTTCAAAACAATCAGTGGACTTGAAGAAGAATATAACTCTCTCGATATATTGTTCTCAGCACGGGCTTAAGGTGTCTTCTACCAACTGTGTTACCGCAACATTTCTTTGTCAAACACCGCATGAATGCAAAAGGGCCAGACGACTGACTGTAACCATGCCACGATCTGACAGTCCAAAATGGAACCCTCTTTGACTTCCATGATGCTTGTCACCTTTTTTAATCTTATCGCCCCTAGCTCCTCTTTCGTAATCGTAAAAACCGAATACGCAAATAACCACCAACACTGTCGTCACCGATAATTAAATGATGAATAATTACAGCCAATTTCAGTATTGATCTGGTATTACGCGTGGTCTCTTTCAGCTGTCCTTGGATTTCTTGATGAGTTGGATTCGAGGCGCAGTGACCAAGAATTTGAAAGGCAATTGAACAACGCGTGATCGTAAACGTAAAACGCGCCGCAGCGGGAAGGAAAGTGGAGGGAATACCCCTGATCATCCACTTTCGAGGCCAACCGAATAAGTCTGGCTCCAGCTTTTTTTTCTTCCTCTTTGCTGTCAAATCTCCATGTTACCTTGACCCAACAAGACGTAGTAGCATTTGCTGTGGATTGGCAATTGTCTCTCAGGCAATCATCTTTCATTCAATTCATGTTACTCGCCGTGCTCTGTACAAACTCAACATGTCACAAGTGAAGCTCTCAGGACATCGTCGCAAAATATCGCCGGTCTAATCCGCGCAGAATCTCCCCTTGTACGTAAGAAACTCCACATTCTTCATGGTCTTGGCGTTTCGCCCCACTCCTTATCAATCAGTTCTTCCATGCCACCATCACCATTGAGGCTCTCACGAGCAGAATTCTCCGCGCTAGTTGAGCTCTGGTGGGGGTTAAGACGTGGCAAAGCTGCGATTTCGGCTTCTAGTGTGATTTGAGATGCTCTAGAGGTTAGATTGATAAGATTTGATATCTTGGACCGAGGTTCTTGAGGCTCTTGGGCGCATATCCGGATGATGTCTTGTGGTGGTGACGTTGAGGAGTGACTGGTCCTTGGCTTTGACGTTGAGCCACATTCGGCTATGATGCGCGATTATTTCCTAGTCTCACAAATGCCGAGATATGTTGGAGTCTTGTTTGGGGGCGGAGGGGAACCATTTGATCTGCTGAGCCTGCATATCCTGATCATTCTTATTACTGCGCAACAACTTTAGCTGTACTTCAGGTAATTCTGGAACTGATACGGACTATTCTTATGCCGAAAAGAAGCGCAGTCTCTGCCATGACAAACTTGCTTGATGGGGAAGACATCTTGCGGCCATGCCTATGAGAGTTTGAAAGGCCAAAGCGATATGCTCATATCTTCCCACCAAAATCGCCTGGGCTCAGAGATCGCTACTCGTCGATCATCGTCCTAACACGAAGTCACTGAACAAACATGAAACATTTCAGGTTGCATCCGACATTCACTTATTGGTACCGGTAAGTCACGGCTCAGTGCATCGGCTGCTATCCGGATCTGCGCAAACCACGACACAATGATGTACAACCTTCGGGCGATTTGCTTCGCGGAAAATCGTCTAACTTGTGCACGTTGTTCATGATGCAAGAATCGTCTTTGAAAGAAGAGAGCCTTGTGGTTAAACCCTGACCCGGCCGTTGAAGGTCCACCCTCGGGAAGGTTGTTTGCGGGGCTGTAGACCCTGAGGTCCGGAAGATGCATTGTCATGTCATTGCATTATGGGATTGTTTTTGCTATTTTCCTTCCGGGAACATTTGTCTGCGTCGCTAGACTAAGGAAGACAGAAAATGGAGCCAGCAGACTAAGAAGTCTTGTAGTTAAAGCCGGAGGCCAAGGGACGCCGTGACCGAAACTCTCTTGCTGCCTTCATTCATCAACACTAACTCTTCCCGTCGTAACATTCCGAACCTAGAAAGGCTTACAAAATAAGCATGTTTTAAACAACACAACTGGTGAGTGCTAGCAGCCTTTTTTGGACATAAAAGCCCCGTCGCGCTGCAATCCCCCAAGAGAGCAAGAACATCTGACATTTAACGAGGGTACCAAAATCAACTACTCTAACGACCCATCAAGTTAAACTAAACTTACCTAAATTTTTTGGTCGCCTCGTGGTATAGGGGCCATCTTCTTACTTCCTGAGGGGCAGCTCAACGGCCTACGGAGGCCGAGACCCAAGGGTGCATTGGCCATTGACTTTTCATGATATGATCTTTGCGTAACTGTTGAGACGCCAACATAACCATGCCAATCGATGTCACAGTTCATCAATTGATGTACGGGATATCTGAAACTACCATAGACAAGAGCTCATCGCATATACAGATCGTTGATGACACAATACACACCGATTCTTGAAGGGCCGGCGCCTTCCGGAGGTGAATCCTTCATCCTCCGTCACAATCAGCGGCCCGCTTCCGATGGCTGCCCGGTCCACCACGCCAACCCATCGTACGATGCTCCCATATTTCATAACAGCAGCATTTCATTTGCCAGCGACCTGAGGCTGGAAAAAAAGTCTCAAACAAGATCTAGAAAGAGAGGCGCCAATGTACGTGATAAGTCATTATATATGTGTCTCTTGTAATGGATGGACCGGGCCGTGTAAGGGTTCGTGCTGAATGAGGCCCAGCCCAGTCATAAAATTTCGCCGTTCTCTCGTGATCTTCTCTTCTTCCCCAGATAAACTGGATCGATCTTCTTTTTTTTTCTCGACTCTCTAAAGAAACTAGTAAAAGCTAGACTTGTCGAAAGAAAAAAAAAGCAAAAGGATTCTTACCAATTACATACATGCCGTTCTTCGCAAGGATCCCTCCTTGCTTGCAGCGATCACGATAATCCGCGGTCTAGAATAAGCCAAATCGAACGACATTCTGCAACTGCGGAATTGAGGATGGATGACAAACACGAAAATTCTCCCGATGAGAACAACGGGGTTATTAGCCTCAGCAACAGCCCGGAGAGCACTAATGAAGCCGATGCGAAGGGCCCTCATGTGTGGCTTGTCGGCGGCGGTATTGCATCTCTTGCCGCCGCGGTCTTTCTGATCGAAGATGCAAAGGTCCCCGGGGATCATATCCACATTCTTGAGGCGTCGGCGAAAGCTGGTGGATCAATGGCGACGTTCTCGAAGCCATCATGGGACACAGGGTATCGAGTATCTGCGATTCGAAAAATGAGCCTTACCTATCATTGTTTGTATGGGATGTTGGAAAAGGTACCGTCTGATGTTGAGGGCGAGACACTCGCAGCCAAATTACACCGGTTCAACCAAGCAAGGAGGAAACTCGGCGCATCGGGAACGAGATTAGTGAGGCAGGTCATTGATAACAATGGGATTGAGAAACCCGAAGCCGTTGATGTGAGCACAATGGGTTTGAGTGTCAAGAACCAGTGCGACTTGATGAGAGTTGTTCTCGAAACGGAGGAGGAGCTGGAAGGCCTTGAGATCCAGGCTTTGTTTGAACCCGATTTCTTTGAGACGAACTTTTGGGATTTATGGTCGTCGCTCAATCGGTTTCACCCTTGGTGTAGTGCTGTTGAGTTCAGGCGGTGTCTGCATAGGATGTTGCATGAGTTTCCCAACATGGGGACACTCTCTGGCGTGGAGCAGGCTCCCGAGGAGGACTTTGAGGCGATCATCAAGCCTTTAACGCAGTATCTGAAGGCGATGGATGTTGAGTTTCGGCACGGTAAGTTCGGGTATTCGTTCGAAGGGGCAAAGCTGACCTGTGTAGGCATTCAGGTAAGCGGGTTGGAAATGGAGGATGTAGGTTCCGATTTTCGAGTGTCGGCCCTGAAAACATACCAAGACAACAAGCATGTCTTGATAACAACTGGCCCTGATGACCTTGTACTTCTCACACTCGGATCCCTGACATCTGGAATGGGATACGGCACAAACGACCAACCGCCGCCGACGATGGAGCTTCGCGATTCAGCACCGCACGAGCTCGATCCTTCATGGACCTTCTGGGATAGACTTGCGATGGATCGCCCCAAGACATTTGGTAACCCTGAAGCATTCTTCGACCGACCTTCGAAGTCAACATGGCTCTCCTTCACAGTCACCCTTCGCGACCCAGCATTCTTCGAGCACTTACGTACCTGGACCGGCACACTAACCGGAGCTGTACCATTAATAACCTTCCGCGACTGCCCCTGGATGCTGTCCCTCACAATTCCTCAACAACCCTATGTCAGAGATCAACCCTCCGACGTCTTCGTATTCTGGGGTTATGGCCTTTTCCCCGATCAACAAGGCCGCTACGTTAGAAAACCCATGCTCGAATGTACTGGCGCCGAAATCCTCACCGAGCTTCTTCACCTCATGGCCTTCCCCCTCCAGCCCACCCTCGAGCGCTCCATCACAATTCCCTGCCTGATGCCTTTGATCGGAAGTCCATTCCTGACACGAAAGAAGGGCGATCGACCAAAGGTAATACCCGATGGGAGCAAGAACTTGGGCTTGATGGGACAGTTTGTTGAGATTGAGCGGGAGGTGACGTTTACGATGGAGTACTCGGTTAGGTCGGCGCAGTTGGCTGTGTATGGGCTTATGGGATTGGATAAGAAACCGCCGGGGGTGATGGGTGAGGATCATTCTGTATTGACGTTGGGGATGGCGTTGAAGACGATGATGACTTGAGGGGAGTGTTACTGGTTTGGACTAGGCGTTGGGAAAAGCAACAAAAGGACGGAAGGACTGTTGCATGCTTATATGTATAGTAGAAAGGGATCAAAATTCTTTCAAATAGGGAAATGGATGCATTGACTTCTTCAAGTGACCGAATCAAGGTGGATGTTTGCTACATGTACGGCTTCAGCATTCGTAGCTAAAACAAAGCAAACCTTAGGCCTCAATCCTAAACAATAATAAGTTTTAGGTAATTTGAAATTAAGTCAGGGTACAGTTATTTACTAAAACTGATCCTATTCCCAGATCTGGAGGTCTTGATCGGGGTTAATAGGCCATCTTTACGGCCTATTTGCAACAATAGGTAAGGTAGTTATTTACGCAACGTAAATATAAGAACAAAGAGACATCAATTCTATTGTAAATTCAAGGCTCCTAGACAATAGATCTATTATTCTGTATTGTATGTGCTAGTAAGGGGGGCATATCGTGTATTTAATGAACAGCAGCATGGTCAAACCTCGTTCCTCCTACATAACCCCTTTTAGACACTCAACATATATATCACCACTTCCCGACCATCTATATCCTTATATGAAGCTCTCTATATCCCGAAAGGCCCCTGTTCTGATGCGTTAGAGTGGTTTCGAACCAAGTGCCTCGTCGACACTGCCACGACAGGGCGAGTTCCCTCCTGGGGTCTCTCCTGGGGGCACGCCTGAGCTCCTACTTCAAGTCGACGTCAAGCCTGAGGCTACCTTACCCTAGCCCATCCGCACCTTCAGCAATTTTCGTTATTTCCCCGACAACGGACCGGGCTAGCCTTCCTCTACCCCTCTTCATCTCTCTTCTCCTCCCCCGCCTTCTTCCACCTCCAACCATATCCTATTCAACAACATTCACATCCTCCTCAACTCACGAACAAATTTAAACACTTCACCAAACTTTCATCCCATTCTCTTCCCATCTTCCTTTCCGTTATCCACTGTCACTAAGCCCCATCTCTTCACTTGTACCGTCGTCTTTGCCGCCATGTCTTTCGCGCAAGATGCAGAAATGCAGCATCTTGCGCGGCTGCAGCTTGACTACATCACTGAGTTGCTCTCACAGAACCCAGAGGAAGATGAATTGCCTGAGTTTATCCAGGACCTGATACGCACCCGTCCCTACTTGGAACTCGTTGCTGCGGGGGCCGCAGTGTTCAATGAAGAGGCTGTTAATGCTCGAGTCAACAAAGGCTTCTCTGCCCCCGAGTATGATCTTGAAGGGCTTCGCGCTCCGTCTCCTTCGGCCACGGCACCTACTCACCAGGTTGGCGAACTCTTTACCGCTGTTGCTGGCACCATGGGTAGGCAATATCAACGCACCCAGACTATCACATCACTGACTGATTTGCTTAGATGGGTTTCACGCAGACGGACAGTTGGACAACGTCGAAGAGGATGCCTAGGAGGCCCATTTGACTGACTCCACTACTGCCACTGTCGCCTCTTTTTCCGACTCTGCCAGCGATATTGTGATCACGCCTGCTCCTGGTACTCCTCCTGGTCCTTCTGTGGAGGTCGCATATCAGAATGCCTTCGCCCGTCTTGATGCCGCTCTTCGAGGTAAACCACCACCTACCTGTGTAATCTAAGTTCCTTACTAATATTATACCAGATAGACATGATTGCTTTTCTGACATCTATGCCGATGACAATGCTGGTGCTCCTCCGCCGACTCCCTGGGAGTTGGAGACTGTTCACTCAAACAGTAGCAAGGTCTCAAAGGTCACGGAAACTGCTCTTGCTTTCCTCTCCAAAACGGATGTGGGTCACATCATTGAAGCCCGGGCACAGAGTTCCAGTCAGTCAATCTCTTCGCGAGAGGCAGAGCATGGCACCCCTCAAAAGGACTCAACTACCCGCGATGTCGAAAGTGTCAGCATTGAGACTGCATCCCCAACACCAACAACCCACCTCCACCACGATGAGGTTGATGCGGGCCTCATTTCTTTTGATGAGGATCCCACTCCTGCCGGCACTATCCCGACTACTATCGGAGATGTTTCCCCTCCTACGAGCACTTTCGCTAAGGAGTGGGAAGAGAGTGAATGTGGCAATGTCGCACTTGATGTCTCCTGCACCATCGCCCACTCTGTCGAGTCTGAGACCGAACTTCCGGTGCAGACCTCTGAGGTTGTCCCTTTCTCCACCAAGGGAACTACTTCAGCTCCGATTGATGAGTGCATTGTCTCTACCGAGCCACAGTGCGCTGCTGTATCCATCACCGGTGATGACGCATTTACACCTGCAACCAGTGTTCACCGGGATAGCAATGTTATCAAGTGCTTCAAATGTGGTAAAGACTGTGATGGCAATGCCATCACATGCTCTTGCGGCCATCATTATTGTGCTGATTGTCTTAACGACGTGGTCAAGGCTTCAATCCATGGGTCCACTCCCTTCCCTCCTGTGTGTTGCGAAATTCCAATCCCTGTTGACATCAACTCTTCTATCTTCGATGAGAAGATTTTGTATGATTTCCTGTGGAAGAAATTTGGGGCATCTGATGTCGGTGAACAGGGCAGCGTCGGTGAACAGGGTGACAAGTCGCTTCCCTCTCCCCATTCTATCCCTTCTCTTCCATCTACTCCGTTTACCCCGACTACTCCGGTAACCCCATCTACCCCCTCTGTTCCCTCTCCTCCCTCGCTTTCAACCGAGGAGGAAGCGGAGTACTCCTTCAGTGGATTTGGTGAAGAAGCAGCCGATAATGGAGATTCCAAGTGCCGCTTGTGTCACAAGACTATTGAGAAAGGCTTGTGTAAGTAATAGTCTGTTGCATCCAGTACCAAACTAATAGACTCTGTTCTTAGATTGTCCTGACTGTTGCTACCGATGCAACAACAGCAGAGCGGACTGCAAATGCGACTGGTGGGATGGCCGCCAGCGCCGTGAAAGGGACTTGGCTATCGTCAAAACGTCAACCTCACAAACTGTTCAACCACAGGTTGCACCCTTTCGGGGACAACGAAAGCAGTTTGGGGGCATTTTCCAACGCAACAACGGGACACCTCGTGTCGAGACCCAGAATGGGGCTTGCCAGCACCCATTGATGAAGCAGGTCAAGTTGTCGGGACGATGCTTTGACTGCCACCACATGCTGCCTACTTTCCTATGGCAGTGCACACGCTGCAAATATTCAGTTTGCAAGCATTGTGGTATGAAGCGGGGGATCTTTTCCCACTGAAGTTTCTTTGTTGTTTACTCCGTTGATAATTGAAATGTCATGGGGATGTATCGATGAGTTGGTGAAAATGGCAGGGTGTCGATATTGTGACGATGATGTGTGGGTGATGGTGATGTGCTGGCTTTGAGAAGCAGTCATTGTGGTGGGAGAAGGTCTGGTACTGTGTACTCCTGTGTGCTCCAGTGTGTTCCAGTTTGCTTTGCCCTTGTCAAAAGTAGATATATTAGTCTGTAAGATAGGAAGAATATGGATAAGTTATGTATTTAAATTGTTTCCTACTTGACTGGGGAGCTTCGAGGCGGTGCCTGGCCAAAATGTCAAAGCGACAGCATTGTAAGGTGTGGGCTGAATTGTGCACTGCCACTCTATGTCAAGCACTCTGCTTTACAATTGCGACAAACTGTCTGCCTGCCGAGAGAATGACGACCAAGGTCAAAGTGAATATACTTGCTCGACAGCTGCTAAGAGCGGTGTTTGTCAATGTGATGTTTGTGTAGTGGCTCTGTTTCCTTGCGCACCCCGTCACTTTCCCTTGCTACATTGCCAGAGGTTGTGCAGTAACTATTATATGATGCACCTTTTTAATTCCTGATACATTCCTGATGCGAAAATTGTGTCTCTTTCTACTTTAATGATAGCCTCAGGAATATATGTTTAAGTTCGCAATGGGATTTGGAGCTTCAGAGCATCATGACACTTCGGTCACAACTGTTTGGACCTGAGTCAACAGTACCAATGAGGCGCATAAGCTTTTCTGATACTCGGATATCATGAGAAATCCTGTTTCATATTATTTTAGAAGGGAAGGTCAAGGTAAGGCGCGCGATGCAAGCATCAGCTATCAGGTCTATCAACTCAACATAACACCCCCGAAAATATAATTTAGGAGCGTACTAACTACAAGTATAGTAGCCCAATAAAGGCTTCTAAGAGATTTATAGTTACTATATAACATAGGAAAGGAAGATAATTTTGGTGTATCTCCATTCCATGAGATGCTCTCTCCCCAGCACGGGCTCCAACCATGGGTAGCGGACCTCTCACTCAACCAGCGAGCTGCTTGGGTACACGCCTCCCGATTGAGTTTACCACCAATTTCTGCATCGTCGATGATTTCGTACTGTTGTATTCATACATTACTATTACAACGCTCTCTTTACTACCCCCAACTCCAGCCTACTCTCACCCTGACCATCTCCAAGCTGGCGACGAATATGCTACAACACGCAAGTCTCCTCCGATTGTATACGTGATCAATTTCAAAAGTATCGCAAAACTCGCTTGCTTTCGCCGTTAACAGGTTCGACTACTGCACCATTAATGATATGCCCAGTGTTGGTATAACTGAGCCGCTGTTGGGGTGTTTCCCTAAACACCGCTGATCCGCTGATAATCAGCTTTCTTGGACAATATTGCGCTTCTCTCCCACTCTACTCGCGATAATAACGAGGAATCCAGTCTTTTATCTGCGCAACAGCGCGGTCTCGGCAGCCATGGCAGGCACGAAGAGTGCAGGTTGTACACTCGAAAGTATAGGGGTGTACTCCCTCACGACACAGTCTACAGTAACCGGGTCCCTCCACTCTCTGCCAGTCGTGGTCGCACAGCATAGGTGGGAGCTGAGGACGATCATCATTAAGGGCCGCTGGAGCACGCCGCGGCGGGGCGTCAAGCTTGAGTTGTTGAAGGGCAGAATCGATATTCTATTGGCAATCGCACGTCTCAGGTCCTTGACCGCAGCCGTAGCAGAACACATGGCCGCAGGGACAAGCTTCGAGGTATAAGTCAGTAAGTTTAAAAGGTTGGTGAGTTGGTTCCGTGGCATACCCATCAGGCGGCAACCGTGAGCCCGCTCGATGAGGTGACCGCAGCGAGAACATCGCTTCCAGCCTTCGCTCTCCGCGAGGTCCAAGGACTGCTCCCACTCATTCTGCTTCTCACAATCTCCTGTATGTGCCTTGTTCTTGCACATGGTGCAAGTGATATCATTACAAGCAGGGCACTCTGCCTCGTCGCCGTAGCAGGGTTCACCATCATTGGAGGTGTTGCTGGGAGGGATGAACTTGAGGCATTGACGGTTGCTGCAGTACGTTCGATCGATTGTCTTCTATTCAACTAGCTTCTTGAGATATAGCTGCATGTCATTCGCAGGTACATGTCCCTCGATGTCTTCGGGGGGTATCTCTTTATGGCAGCATTTGGCGGGGAAGTGCAATGTGGACGAGAGAGATAGTTCGACGGTTTGCATGATGCATAGATTGCAATATTCATCCCCGCATGGAAGGGGTTGGAATGCCATGATTGGTCGTAGTTCTCCGCAGAATTCGCAGTACTGCATTTCTGTTTCGGCAGACTCTTGTGTCGCAGGGTCTTCAGAGGCGGCGGGTTGTTGGCCCTGCTGTGATGTCGCTTCGCTGTGTTCGTCATCTGACGGGCCATCAAAAAGATGGCCAAGCATGTCTTCCGAATTCTCGTCAACTTCTTCGTCAACGGTCATCTCGTCGTCTGAGGTGTTGTCTTCGCCTTCTGATTCCCCATTGGGCTGATGCTCCCCCGAGTTTTCTCCAGGTTGGTAATTTGACTCTCCGTCAGAGAGACCATCAAGAATGTCATCCGTATACTCACTGCCTTCATCATCCACATCCATCTCATCGTCAAGGTCCGCTTCATCATGGGAACTGTCATTTTGGGTATCCGGTTCCTCACCGGGGTGTTGCTCAGGTGTCTCCTCGTTTTGGCCCACTACAATGCCAGACGGGGCTACCTTAGAGGAGATATTCTCGTCGTAGCCCTGCCGCGTGTCCATGGCGGAGGTTGATGGGAAGTCACAAGTAAAAATGGTGGACGATGGGGGAAAAAACGAATATCGCAAAACTGACTATTTCAAAAGTTTATGGCGTAGAAAAAAAAGACAAAACGTATATGTTGGTGGTCTATGCAGCTCTCAGGCAGCCGGCTTGCAGTGCTGGTCGCGACTGTTGCCCATACTTTTTGTACAAAAGCTTATGGCAGGGACACCACTTGAGCATAATTCGAGATGATCATGCTTCAGCAAAGTCTAACAACGAAAACCTTTCTCAGTCAAGTACGTACGACGCCTTTTATTCAAGGCCATCGTCAGACACATCTCGAGTTCTCTTCAAACTTCTTTTGTGGGCTCCTGAGGCTTCACACAGCACTAACACTAGGGCCTCGATGGACGAGGAGACAGTCCCATCAGTTTAAGACCACGAGTATCTACTGCCCTCCGACTTACATCTATCCTTGTTCATTCTCTTCTTCCGTTCGTCTCCTCTGGCAACCACGGGGGCTTGGCAATGAGAGGCCCTTCGAGGTAACATCGCAGGCGGTGGTGTCAAGCAAGAACAAAGCTTAAGTATGTTCAGGACGACTTGGAATCACTTCGACTGCCTTCTTACATGCAGGTTTAGGCCCTCCGGCCCAAAGATCTCTGTTTCTCTCAACACCTCGACGAAGCCTCAACTACAAACACCCCCTCCCACCCTTCAATCACTCAATAAGGGTCCTCGATCTCGGCGCAAGAACACCAACACAGGACCAAATATTGAGGGGCTGCGCTCTAGGATCTGGGTTGAACGCAGAATTGCCAGCAATGGGATCGCGACTGAGGTATTCAAGAAATCCGCACGAAGTAGCAAGAATACAGCTCGCATTGTCGACCAGCACCCGCATCACATTCGGCTTGACATCAACCTCGACCAAATCCTCCTTCCCATAGCGGTAGAACACCTTTCGATCCCTCTTCTCCTCCTCTACCTCCTTTTCGGCATCCTTTTCCGTCTTGCATGTGCGGCACGGGTCGAACTCCTCATCGATAAGCCAAAGTCGCACTCCTCCTATTATCCGCACGACGGTGAGGTGCAGCAGCAGCAGGAAAAGACCCCTCGGGTTATTCTTGGTCTTTGCTTCAGTCAGCCTCATGGGCGGGTTGTCGAGTCGCGTGATGCCATTGGACCAGGATATGTCGAATACGAAGCCGATATTTCCCAGTATGGGGGAGCCGTCGCTTGTCGGGGAGATGGCATTTTCCCGAAAGAGCTGAACCGCTTTGTCTTCTTGTTCTGTGTCTGTAAGTTGTCGTGCTAGTTCATGCATCCATCGTTCATCCTCCATGATGAAGAGATCTCTCGCTGGGTGGATCGCAACAATGTTGTTGTACATGCCATCTATGCTGACTACCGATGCGAAGTCCTTGTACCATTTACTATGACGTTCCGGGTAGCCGTTCTGCATCAACAGATCTTCATTCTGCCACGCGGCTTCCATAGTGAACGGCTCGCGAATCTCTTTTGGTACTGTTTGCAAGTCCTTCAAGACGCTCTTCTTCATTTCTTCCCAGTATTTCCGCCGAAACCGCCGGCTAATGACCCATCTAGACTCAATACAAGCTTTCCACAGACCGTAGTCCCAATGTACAACTGATTTCAGTACTTCAGGGCACAACGACATAGGCTCGCGCATCTTGTGATCGTCCAGCCCCCTCGTAGCTCGTGATCCATAGAGTGGCGGACTCTTGTAGCCAACGTCACTCGTCTCGAGCAACGACGGATCATCGCCCTCCCAAGCATGTACTCGAAAGCGATGTGTCGCGTTGTAGTTCTTCGAGGGCTGCGGACGCATTGCTGCTTCCCAGATCAAGAGTCTGACATCTTGGTGGAGGTACGGAAACCAGTGGAAATGGCGGTCTGGTGCTTTCTTCTGGGCCGGCGGTGGTTCGGCTGGCAAACCCGGCGAATGCATAGTATCCATTGGCAAGATCAGCTGGGGTGGTGAGGGCGAAGGGAGGTTGATTCGGTCATGGTGAGGGGGAACAACATGGTGATGTGTTCTCAGGGCTTTGCTTAAACTCGGCGCACCGAACTCAAAGTCCGGGTCTATTTATCGTGGTGTTGAATCGGATTGGTTGTTCGCGGAAAGTTTGATGGTTTCTGAGGCGCTGAGAGGCTGTATGGTGGAGGGATTGGCGGAAGCCGCGATTTACCTAGAATTAAGATGAAAAGGGGACTAATCATAAACGGTCACGAAATAAAAGGCCGTGTATTGACCTGTCATGTTTGTCGATTCAAAAAAATCGGACTTCCCATGTGCCTGAACTGGAGACGTAAGTTCTCCTCTCTTCCCTCGTGTCTTCACGCAAAAGGCTACTTCAGATCATTGATTTCAGGGGGCGAAAGACGTACATGGTCAACCAACAGCTTCCCTCAGCTCTTTCCTAAGCTCGTCAAAGGATCTACTCGTCAAGGATTGTTGTCTCGAGTTTTCAAACTTCTCCTCTCTTTGGTATGCTGACCGGAACTTGGCTGAGAGGGTGATGTGAGGAGAAGAAAGAAGGACGCAGTGCATACCAGGAAATTCGACCAAATCATTTCGAGATGCAAGAGCTCAGGGGGAAGTGACAGGACGGAGGCAGACATCCAGACGGCAAGGCTTTGTCATTCCGAGTTGTACGGAAGACAGCATCGTTGCAAACAATCCAACAGAAGGGTTTCTGGAACTATAGAATTATCTCACTCGATATTACAACTATCTCTTTCAAAAACTGCAATATCTCTCGGCTGAATATTGACCCACGCGAAGTAGGTCTATCTGACAAATATCCATCTTCCCCCTGGTCAGCAACCAGAAGAACTTCGTCCCCAACAGATTTCAAGCCCAACAAGGATGCAGCAAACACAGATCAAGCACGATAAACTTCCTCTGATCGGCTGATCAACTGCAAGAAATAACAAGGGATACTTCTGTGCCTTGACCATAGCTTTTCAAGTTTGCGTCGTAGTCAGAACATTCCCGTCAGTCTCTGTCCCGGAACCCCTATTCCAGAAACCTTGATTCAGCCTCTTCTCTCACCTCGCAAGGCCGTCCCTAATCGGGCAACTGCTATTCCTGCACATGAAAAGGAGGTACTGAGAACTTGGTTTGGTAGTGGCCTCCAAGACCCGTATTGCCGAGCCTGCTGAGTACTGGTAGTCAGTAATGGGCCTTTGGCACGCGATTGGATGGGCAGTCTTGCAATTGAGGCTGCAAGATGCCTCGCTTAGGTTCTAACAGTTTCCAAGAATGATCCTTGTACCACAACTGTTGGTCGAGATCCAAAATCTATCTTGGAAAACAGGTGGTTCAGTTGACACGGCATTTTCTACCAAGTTCCCCGACGTAACCGTTTTATCCTTGGCGTTAGATCTAAACAGGACTAGGAAGCTCTTTTCTGCATGTTTCACCGGTAATAACATATCAGAGTGACAGATCAACTATACCTATCAGGTATTTTCCTCCGATGTCATTCGTGTCATACGTAGTCAAGTCGGAAGACCCGACGTTGAGGTTAAACCTTATGTCTCAACTGACAGGGATCAAGGCGTGAAAGTCCCGCGGGATCACAGGCCGAATAAGCGGAACCCCCTAAACGGGCATATCCGACTGAAAATCTCTGAGTCGATCACCACGATTCGTTGTAACCGAGGAGCCACCACAATCCTTGGTTATAGCAGAATATCATCAGTATAACGTCGCTGTCTACATTTTCTGACCCATAAAGTCATCTGGATGTCCGAGCTGAAAACAAGGGTTTGTGATATTTGGATCTGCAATGCGTGGGGATTTCGTAAACCTGTGGTCTAGACCCTGACCCCCCTGTCCTTGGCCGTGCTCCCGATAAAGCATTGATTGGCTCTCGTTGAAAATGCATCAAGACTCTTACAGCGAAATCTCAGAATTCCCCCCCTTCCTCTTCATCGCGAATTTCTTCAGTCGAGACAGAGACAAAAGCCACCATCGGCTAATTCGGCCAAGGACCCGATGCGATAAATGATTACCGATGTGGGAGGACAGAATAGGAAATTCGAGTACCCATATCTCCAGGCCCGCCCGTCAACGGGGTTGACAGGTAGACGGACCCCTAAAAAGATTAGATTGGGCTGACTGCGCCGCAATGATCGCTACAAGACTCCCTGTCCCGTCGCCGCCTCCCTCTCTCCAATGCCGTCTTTCCAGAGGTAGCCCACCCACTTTTCGTTCAGTTGATCCCCGAAGGACAACGGGCACAGACACAGACACAAGAGAAACATCCCACTTTCAACGTCACCTCGACGACTTCATCTCGATCATCTCCGCCTCTTGATAGATAGATCATCTTCTCCTTCTCCTCGCAGTGAGAACGATATATTCATTCATCCATGTCTGTGGTCTCGACACCCACAAGCTTCGTTGCGAGGTAACGAACGATGCGGCAACGCATTCTCATCGTTATCTCGAAGCTAATCAGAGCCTGACTCCTCCATTCTCTCAATCCATTGATCTTGATTCGCCCTTTGTCCAACATGGCCGCCAATTGGCATTCTCTCATCGCGAGAGCGGCTTTTGAGTTACCAGTCGTGAGTTAAACTTTTTTCTCAACTCTAACTCTATTCCCTCTTCAACGTGGCTGACCATCATCTACTTTCAGGAGGGCGATGACTCTCGGGTTGGTTCTACGCGAGATGGTTCCAGTGGCGGTACCCTGAGCTCCACCAACGCTTCAAAATCGTCATCGCTGCAATCTCTTGGAGGAACATTTATTCCTGTCGTCATTTACTGCGCGGTTTGCCTCTTGTTCTTTTCGGTTTTTCGCGTGAAATGCCATCGAGTCTACTCCCCTCGGTCGATACCCAGCCTGCGTTCCCCTCAGTAAGCAAACAGCAGATCTTTCAGCTCTCAATCATTGCTGACAGCCTCTGTAGCACGCCCATACCGCCACTTCCCAATGGCTGGTTCAACTGGATCAAGCCATTCTTCAAAACTCCAGATACT